TTGTGGGGCAACGGACTGGGGAGGGCTGGAGTGAGTGAGTCGCTGGGCTGAGGGGTCTGTGTTCTCCCATCTGCAGACGATGGTCGCTGGAACATCCCCCACACCACCACCACCAAGCAGCCCAAGGCTACGAAGCCACCCCCCAAAAAGACTTCAGGTAATTTTTTTTACCACTATTAAACCTCAGAGGCACCATTAGAAATCTGGAAGACAAGACCTTGGGGATTCAAAGAACTGAAAGTGGGGATGAAGAGCAGAAGCTTGATCTGGTATTGAAAGAGAACGGAGCGGGGCCTGGGAGGGTTCTTCAGGTTCTTCACTTAAAAGGTTTTCTCCTTACTATAGCTGTTCTCTCTGCCTTCTCCCGCGTGGCAGGACAATATGTAGAAGATAAGAGTGGGCTCTGGGAACAGATGGATGGATGGATGGATGGATGGATGGATGGATGGTAGGTAGGTAGGTAGGTAGGTAGGTAGGTAAGGTAGATAGGATAGGTAAGATAGATAGGAAGGTAGGTAGTAGGTGGATAGATAGATAGATAGATAGATAGATAGATAGATAGATAGATAGATAGATAGATAGATAGATAGATAGATAGATAGATAATGTAGGTAGATAGGTAAGGTAGATAGGATAGGTAAGATAGGAAGGTAGGTAGGTGGATAGATAGATAATGTAGGTAGGTAGATAGGTAGATAGGTAAAGTAGATAGGATAGGTAGATAGGATAGTAAGATAGATAAGGTAGGTAGGTGGATAGATAGATAGATAGATAGAGGTAGGTAGGTAGGTAGATAGATAGAGGTAGGTAGATAGATAGATAGATAGATAGATAGATAGATAGATAGATAGATAGATAGATAGATAGATAGATAGATAGATAGATAGGAAGGTAGGTAGGTAGGTAGGAAGGAAGGTAGGTAGATAGACAGACACAGACAGACAGATGATAGGAGAAGACAATCTATTAGGTAACTAGCCTTAGAGGATTTGGGGTTCCCAGGCTGAATTTGGGGATTCAGACTTCTTTCTTTGATTTATGTGTTTTCCTGACATGCAGTCTGGTTTCTATAAAAGCCTTCACCAACTCTGACCCTCAAAATGTAGAGGAGTTGGCTGCAAGGCCTGGTATTGTCCCCTGGCTGAAATCTTGGTGGTAGATTGTAACTCAAGACACCTGGAGATGAGCGGGTTGGGAATGGCTGGTCTTGTATCGAAGGGCGTGACCATCACATGCATCAAATCGAACTCAACCTGAACCGATGGGCAAAACTATGCCTGGGAAATAGCGTAGAAACCTGTGGGAATCCTAGGTAGATGTCTTCAAGCCTTTTCTTACTTCTTCTAAGAGGTCAGGTCTTGCTCAGTGGAAAAGAATGGGGATGCTAGAAACCCTATAGCCCTAAGCAACCGATCTGCTCGTTTTGTAGCGAAAGACCCAATGGATTTCGACTTATCCGATGCTTTAGATGACCAAAATGACAGACACCCTGGGGGTGGACCACCTAAAGGAAATCCCGGTGGAGGTACGTTGATAATTCTGCTTTTTTTGTTGGTCAAGATAGACTTTGGCACCCTCCCTTCTTTCTCCGCGCGTCCGCTGCAGTTGGGGGGAGAACAGCTCCCAAAGCCTTGAAGATCTGCTCACCTGCTGGGCTGAGACTGTGCATTTTCGTTAAAGTAGGACGGTAGCAGCTCTTGTAGGCGTTGAGAAGAGACTGAGGACAGTGGTGGGAAAGTCTGCAGAGAAGAGAGGAGAGTTGAAATAGTCAGGAAGGTGACGGCCACTACCTCTGTTATATACAGAGCATCAGTTATATCATGGTGGCTATCAGCTGCACCAACCTTTCCAGGGAACGTTGATTCCCATCAAGCTGATGGAGGAGGTGGTTGGATGTTCAAGAGGCGATGGACGTGATGGGATGCTGTTGATGGAATCAGATCCCGGATGGAAGGGGAACACGATGGCTCCAAAGCTGTCTTTCTCAACCTTGTTTAAAGAGATATAGACTTCCCAGAATTCCCCAGCCAGCATGGCATTCTGGGAGTTGAAGACCACATGTCTTCAAGTGGCCAGGGTTGAGGAACACAGCTCTGGAAGGTGTAGATTTTGCGGTAGAAGGAAAGCCCTCCCTGCTCAGACATTAGAAGCTGAAGGAGTTTGTAGTATTCACTCATCCGCCTTCCCCTCTTTGAGCTTTGCTTTTCCTAATTAGATACAGCTAGTTCTCAACTTATGACTGCAATGGATCCTGCCCATTACGGCCATTAGTCACGACGGTCCTAAAGCAGCACACCCCTGTGACTGATCCCATTTTACAATCTTGCTGAGCTCATTTAAGCAAATGCAGAGGTTATCAAGCCAACCAATTGTTCGGTAGAAGGCTGATTGGGTTGAAAACCAGAAATAAAATGCTGATTTGGGGCAAAAATGCCATACAATGATGCTGCAAAGGGCCCAACATTGTGGTCATGTGACTGCAGGGATGGGGATGGGGATGGTGGCCATCAGAACCGGATTAGACGTAGTTCTGGGTGGTCCGTCCTAGCTTAGCAACCAGTCTTAAAGTCCACCTGTAAATCCTTGCAGGAACGATTGAAAAGAGAACAGCTTCCAGCCCCCGGAATGCTAGAAAAAAAAATATATTGGCAGGTTGTTTTATTGCTCCAGGTTGAATTCTCGCTTTCCTTTGTCGTGTGCTTTGGTTCCCAAGCCTAAATCAACCCCTTGCTATTTTCCATGATCAGTTAATGAATAAAGAATCCTGTTCCAGGTTCAAAAGGTGGAGACAGAAGAGGTGGAAATTCTGGTAAGGGGCATCTCCTTGGTCTCCTCTGTCCCACCTGGCTCCTTTTGCTCGCCCTTCTCTTCTAAGCCCAGGAGAAAATAAGAATAAAGTCCCTAAAATGAAATTAATAAAATGAACTGGAGCTGTTATTTCTTGCATGAGATGGTTCCAGCAGTTGCTCTTCCAACTGGCTATTACCAATGCATGGTGTGAATTCTCTGTCCACTCTAACCTGCTAAAAATCCTACACAGGCTATCCGTCTCTGCTTGCCAGCAGGACTGATGGTCAGGGAAGATGGGATCTCTCTCTTCAGTCTTGCCTGCAGGAGCTTCGGCTTTTGAATTCATCTTAGTACAAAAGCAAAATCCCTCTGCAGACAGAAAAATAACATACAGCAGGAAGTAAACTGGCCCAGAAGCCATCTGTCTGCCACGTTGCCTATTACTTGTAGGGCTTCATATTTTTATGTAAAAACTCTGGGAATTGATGTCCCTTCTTATCATTGGAAGGGATAAATCACCTCTGTGCCCAAGCAAACCAAAGACCTCTGAATGTAGACCTTAAGGTAACCCTTGTGACCCTTAATTTAATCCAAGGATTTTGAAGGCATTCATTAAAAAAAAAAACTGGCTCATAAACGATGTACTAGGATTCCCATAGAAATGCTTTTAAACGTCTCCAGAGGTTTCCATTTCTGGACAAGTTTACAAATGCCATCAGTCATCCCATTTTTGGGCTTACCTTCATTTGGAGCTGGGGGTCCAAAGTAGGGTTCAAAATCTCCATGGATGTTTGTGGGCCTCACTTGGTCTTGAGAGGGAATTGCTGGCGTGCCACAGAATCTCTGGAACATCTGTAGAAGGTGCCCCATTCAGATGTGTCCAGATAGCAACGAACGAGCAAATGCTTTCTCGTGGATCGAGACCAGATCTTCCCAATAATGTAGATCATGGTTCTCCAGACCAGATAAAAGCCAAAGTCAAATTAAGGTGCCTTCCAATTCCTCCGTGTGGTGCTATCCTTCCCGTTAGTGTCCTTGTCATGAATGATACGGAGAAGCGTCTTCAATTATATGAGATACATTGCGCCAGATCCTGCAAAGGGCATGAAGGTGGAGATGGAAAGCCTGAAAATAAAGCAGTAAACATTCTGGGGTTAAAACATTTCACTTTTTTTAAAAACAAAAAATCTATTCTTCTGCATTTCTGGATTTAGATTAGAGAATAACTAACATTGCAAAAAAAAAAAAATCACTTTTATAACTTTGGTTCCAGCCAACAACTCCTTTACTAACCCGTACGCTTCAATCTAAAAATCGTTTTTCTTTTCTTCTTGGATGCAGTCCTTTTACTTGTGGCTTTTTTTTTTTTAAAGTAGGGTAAATTTGGTTAAAGAGTGGTTAAAAAAAAAAAAAAAGACCAATGTGGAATTTTAAATAAGTGGATTTTACTTGGACTTCTCAGGGATTTCGGATGCCGACCTGATTGGTATCGTGGATGAAGGAGGTTATCAGCCTGATAAGAAGAAAGGTGGGTTTCTCTGTGCTGGGTTGGCTGTAGTGAAAGGTGAGGAATTTTGGGGAGGGGGTTGCTCTCGGCCACATCTTGAAAGCTGTAAGTTTAGCTCTATAGGCAATCCTCAATTTAGACGCACAATCGGGATCAGAATGTCTGGTTGCCAAGCCCCCAGATTTTGATCCGAATAAGAAGGGACTTGGAGATCTTCTAGTCCAGTGATGGCGAACCTTTTAGAGACCGAGTGCCCAAACTGCAACCCAAAACCCACTTACGTATCGTCGGGTGCCGGGTGGGTGTGGCCCATTGGGTGGGTGTGGCCCATGGGTGGGCGTGGCTGTGGTGGTAACGGCAGACTGGGTGGGACTAAAAAGTTCAATCAATCCCAACTTTGCAAGATCTTTTTTTTTCCCGCAAGAAGTTGAAATTGACTGATTGAACCTTTTTTTTTTTGCACATGGCAGCAGAGGCCTAAAGCAAAAAGGTTTTATAAAACTCAGCTGAAGGCCTAGGACTGGGGTGATGGTTCGCGTGCCCACAGAGAGGGCTCTGAGTGCCGCCTCTGGCACCCGTGCCATAGGTTTGCCACCACTGTTCTAGTCCAACTCCCTTATCACATGACAGTGTGGATGCTGCAAAACCTCCTGTAAAGAATTTCCAAGCCCAGAAGATCCATGTCTGTGATCTAGTAAAGACGACGCATGCAAAGATTTGGATAAGATCCACAGGCCCTCAGCTACAGATTGGCAACTGCGGATTGATTGCTGTTCTGAAAAGGAAACCTAAGGGTGATCCTTTCATTTGGAGCCAGTTGGCTGGAGGAGGAGTCGGGCGCTGGGGTGTCCCGTTTTGCAAACAGCCCCCGCTATGGTGGGCACAGAAGGAACGGTGGTGCAAAGCACCTTAAACACAGAACTGCACCCAAATCATTGGTACCCTGGAGATGTTGTCTGGAAGGTGTCTGGTGGGACACCAGAGAGGCATTGGGTCCTCTCCAGCTTTCGGGATCTTGCTTGGATTCACCGGAGTCCTTTCTACACAGGAAAGAGTGCAGAGAAGAGCAACAAAGATGGTTAGGGGACATATGAAGAACGGTTGCAGGAATTGGGTATGTCTAGCCAAGAGAAAAGAAGGATTGGGGTGACATGATAGCAGTGTTCCAATATTTGAGGGGCTGCACCCAAGAAGAAGGGGGTCAACCTATTTTCCAAAGCCCCTGAAGGCAGGACAAGAAGCAACGGATGGAAACTAATCAAGGAGAGAAGCAACTTAGAACTAAGGAGAAATTTTCTGACAGTGAGAGCAATTAATCAGCGGAATAACCTGCCTCCAGAAATTGTGGGTGCTCCAACACTGGAGGTTTTTAAGAAGAGATTGGACAGCCACTTGTCTGAAATGGCATAGGGTCTCCTGCTTGAGCAGGGGGCTGGACTAGAAGACCTCCAAGGTCCCTTCCAACTGTTTGTTCTGCTAATTTGCCGTTGAATGCGGTCGGATCCGATGTGGTGAAGGGCGGGAAACTAAGGCCCACGTGTAAAATGAGGCACCGGCTTCCTCGGGGCTTTAGATGCTCCAGATCGCAGGCATTCCGATGGCCGCGCCGAGCACCACCACAAAGGACTCGTTCTTCCAAGCCACTCGAGTGTTTTCCTTCTCCAATTAGAGAATGGAGGAGGGGGAGGAAATTACTGCTTATGCTGCAGCGGGCAGAAATGTGCAGACAAAGCTTTCATTTCTCCGCAAACCGCACCCACTTTCTTGACTGCGCACGGTGCTAAATTTATAATCAATCTCATTTATTGCTACTGACGCAGCAGCTGCTTAATTAATACGAGGGCCAGCCGAGTGTCTGCACGCGCTCGCGCGCCGGGGCTGGGATTTGCACAGCCTTGGCTCGGCACCCAACTTCCTTCGTCAACATATTAGGAGATAATTAAAATGGCCCCAGGATTGATTAATTGATTATTTATCTATTTGTTTAGCTCGGCACCCCCTGGGCGGCTTGAAATTGGCTTTTGAGGAACTGGGGAGGGGGGGGAGAAGGGAAGTGGCAGGGGCCTCTCCCTGCCAATCGTCCTTGCTTTCAACTCCAAGGTGTAAATCAGTTGTATTTCAAGGAGACGATTTGGACGGAGGGAAATGTAGGGCAGGCGTGTCATCGCCGCTGGAAATCTGCGGGGTTTTATAACAAAGATCTCCCGATTCTGCTATTCGCTTAACGAACTTCGGGGATTCACTTAAGAACTGCAGGGATTTGCTGAACAGCTGTGGCAACCCCCCCCCCAAAGATTGTAAAATAGTGCCTACCTCATTTAACAACAACCTTGCTTAGCAATGTGAAAGAATAGAAATAAAAATAGAAATAAAAATAGAAAATAGAATAGAATAGAATAGAATAGAATAACAGAGGTGGAAGGTACCTTGTAGGTCATCTAGTCCAACCCTTGCTCAGGCAGGAAATTCTATACAATTTCAGACAAATTGTAGTCCAATCTCTTCTTAAAAACGTCCAGTGTTGTAGCATTCTGGAGGCAAGTTGTTCCACTGGTTAATTGTTCTAACTGTCAGGAAGTTTCTCCTTAGTTCCAGGTTGCTTCTCTCCTTGATCAGTTTCCATCCGTTGCTTCTTGTCCTGCCTTCAGGTCCTTTGGAGAATAGCTTGACTCCCTCTTCTTTGTGGCAGCCCCTGAGATACTGGAATACTGCTATCATGTCCCCCCTTGTCCTTCTCTTCATTAAACTAGACATCCCCAATTCCTGCAACCGGTCTTCATATATTTTGGCCTCCAGTCCAGTCCATTTGTGGTTATAAGTCAAGGGCCACCTGTATCTATACTATAAAGGGGAGAAGATCCATAACTTGTTTCAGACTTTTAGGGCATAAACTTCCTAAATGTTGCGTGTTCTTCATTAGTTATGGGTTTACTGATTGCTTGTTGTTTATTCTTCTGTATAGGAGACAGTGACAATGATTACAATAACGGTGAGTAAGGATGCTCATGGCACTCTCGGCTTCTTTTCAAACAATGGATGGAGCAAAACTTGAAACAGGGTGAAGATTTCCCTTGACCTCTGGCCTTTTCAAATGTCCCTTTTAAAGCCCCTTCTCTGTCTTTCCCGGGCACCAAGCTGCAGAGAAGTGCTAGATAGCTTTTAGCAGAGACTGGCCTGACCTGTTATGAGAGCGTGGGGATTCGGCTAGGGGTCACCTCGAAGCTCAGGAACCCCTGTTTTTCCACCCTTGTTTTTTAAACTAAAGATAACCATGGATTTGCTTCTTAGCTCCTTCTGCAATTCTTCCACGGCTTCTAACCCAACGCCTAAGAGTTGCATGACCCCAACTGACCTGGTCCATTTTTTGAGGGGCTCCTGGAGAACCAGACATTCTCACGTGGGCATTTGGTGGTTTTCTTAGAAACGGAGCAGGGCAAATGCAGAAATACCATCACCCTTTCGACTGTAAACAATGATTTGCCTTGAGTTGAACAAAAAAGAAGAAGCTTTGAAGAGCTAAGTTTGTCCTCGTTGGCCAAGTCATGGTTTGATGGGTATGAAGCAATCTCTGGGATGCTTGCGCAAAGAATAGATTATAGAACAATCCCAGCTTGGATCATCCCACTTGGTCTCTCTAGAAACATCTGAACGATCTCCTATTATCCGTAGCCATTGGTCTTACAGGCTGGAGATCCTGAGAGTTACAGCAAATGAGTCCATGGGCTGTCAGGTGGGGGAAGGCTTCAGAAGTGGGTCCATTCATAATGCCAAAATAATGACATGGTAGAACAGAGGTGTGGCAGGAACGGAGAAAAGAACTTAGCGGGGATTTTTAGTAAACATCTAGGATGCGGAGCATCATCCATAACGTTCAACTTGTCCTCCATTTCTACAGGTGCCCTGGTGGAAACCGGGACAATCGCTGGCATTGTCAGTGGCCTTGCCATGGCCTTAATCGGTGCTGTCAGCAGCTATATCTCCTACCAGCAAAAGAAATTCTGCTTTAGCATACAACGTAAGTGTCTCTAATTTCTCTCCCCCCCCTCCATGCAGGAGATCTGACTCCTGGTGAAAAGATCCCTCAAAATCCAGTCGCTTTACCCAGAGTGTGTGGGGAGGGTTCTCAATCTCTTCTCCAACAAAGCCTGCAATGGGATCTTGTTGACTTGGCTCCTCTCACTGGCCGTTGTTAAATTCTGACCCTTGTATGCTGGAGAAAGGGGTTTCTCTTAAGCTGCAGAAGACCAACTGTGGCGTTTAGAAATGAGTCCAGAGATCCATCTATCAGCGGTCAATATTGCTGATGTGGAAAGGGAGCTAGCTGCAAAAGCGGGCTGGTCTCATGCCTGGAATTGGGGGTGAGTGATTTTAAGACAGAGAAAATTGCTTCAACCTAGGAGCTTTCTCTTATGGGTGGGCTGCGAAGAGGCCCCACAGCTTCAGTTTCCTGTAGGGGCTGTGAAGCTGGGTAGTAGCTACAGGCATGTTAAGGCTTCTTTACATAAAATGTTATTATCAACGGATATCCTCCCCCCCCCCAAGAACTCTCCAGGATGATAGGCTTCCCAACCAATTAGCTTCCAATTCAGTTCCATAGCATGCATGGATCCCTTGAAATGAAGGACTACAACACAGTTCTTTCAGCAGTTCCAGGAAGGCCCCACACCCATTTGCACCACTCTGGTGACCTTGAGGACACAGATAAATCTCCAAGTGGCCTCAACGACTCTCTAAAAGAATGCAAATGACCAGCTGTCTGCAAGGAGTATAAATCCTTCCATTCCCCACCACCCAGAGCTGAAGAAGCTTCTTGGATGATAAGGGAAACATCTTTTTTTTTAAAAAAACAAGAAAGTCCAGTTGCCTCTTGAAAAAGCACTTTGGGGACCTTGAAATGAAGGTTCTGCTTTCTAGGGCTGCAGTGAGGTTTGATGCCCGGCGAGCATCAAAGAAAGCAACTTGAACTGAGTTTGCAGGTGATTGAATTCCTGAAGGGCCCACAATAGGCCCTCCTTCCATTGCCTTTCTCGTTATTCAGGAATGCTGGCCTGGTTCCTTCCATTCAGTGGCCGGATGCATAGTCCAGTCAAGGCTGAGAAAAATTCGTTCGTCTGAGTTGACTCTTTTCCCTTGGGGGAAAAAACATTGCAATTTACCAGGATATAAAAGTGAGAGAACCGGTATTTGGGGAAGGATCCAACCTTTTGCAGATAGCTTTGGATGGCGTCAGGAAGAGGAACGTTGCCCCTTTTCTGACCCTTTTTTTTTAGCAAAGTATCACAAACGGGAGTGACAGGAGTCAGTTGAACGAGCAGAATAAGTCCAGAGAAATGTGATGGATTCATGTATCCATTCATTTATCTAACCCCTGCGGGGTTTTTTTTTCCAAGTTCTCTGTTGGTTGTCAGTCATTATGTTGGGAGAAAAAAAAACGAGCGTTATTATTTCTTGCAAAACCAAAAGGCTTATTTTATGGACCAAAAGTCACAGAATCGGAAGAATATATCTATATATCTATATATCTCTATCTATATCTATCTATCTATCTATCTATCTATCTATCTATCTATCTATCTATCTATCTATCTAATAAAAAATGACGGAAAAGGACATTATACGTAGGGGGGGTATATGTTTGTACATGTGAATGGTGTTCTCTGTAATGTGCACATAGAAATACACAATCTCCAGAAGGAACATCCTTAGGTCTAGAAAAGCGTTGGATAAAGGCGGCACTCAGATGCCACGAAAAGGCAACAGGAAATTAAAGTTAATTATAACGGAGGATTAATTTCAGCCATCAGACGTGGCCTGCTGGGATAATGTCAGACTTTGGATGCACAGCAATGCACGGCAGCTCCTGAAGGGACTTTTTATGGAAATGGGGTAAAACAACCTCTCAGTGAGGCTCATATGTGGCATTTCTGATGCCCTGTTTTGGCCCGGTTTAATGGCAGAAATAAGCAAAGGAGGCGATTTTACTCATTTCCAGCTCCCGGTTTCTTCCAAGCCTGATCTAACTTGCTGGATCTGTTTGAAAGGGGGAAAAAAGCAGGAATGAATGCAAATATTTTAAAGGAAGAAAGAAGGAGAAATTGTTGAGGTGAGGTTGGGAAGAGGCTGTCAAGTCCTGTAGGCCAGGGATCCCCAACCCCATCCGTGGACCGGTACTGGGCCACAGCATGCCAGCAACCGGTCCGCACAAACAAGCAAAGCCCCATCCGTGGGATGCAGGCAGCACACAAAACCACACACCCTCCGGTCCGCGGAAAAACCTCTCTCCACGGAACCGGTCCCTGGTGCCCAAAAGGTTGGGGGCCTTTGCTGTAGGACGTGCTGAGCGTGATAACACATCAACATCATGAATTCCTCACCTGTTTTGGAATTCAAGTTGGAGGTTTAAAAAACAAACAATGTCAGAGAAGGAGAACTGGAGCATAAAAAAATGCCGTTTAAAATCCAAACCTCTTATTTGGTTTGCCCTTTAGTCAAATGGAGCAAAAAGTATTCCATTTCTTTCTTCCTCTGTTGGGTGCTGCAGCCATCTGAAAGGAGTGTAATGAGTTTGCAAGTAGAGATTTAATCTTACGGTGTAAATTAGGGGCAGGAAGCCTACCACAGGGTTGTTTCGTTGCTATCCTGGCTGTCTCTCTCAGGACAGCACTTACTAGACGTGTCTTCTGGTTTTCTGCGTAAGCTTCAGTCGTCTCACAACAACTGTGCCAGTTTTAATGTTGGGTGTCAAGTCTCTTCTGCTCTTTGCTATTTTTAGAGGGCCTGAATGCAGAATATGTGAAGGGAGAAAACATGGAAGCGGTGGTGACCGAAGAGCCACAAGGTGAGTCAGTGCGTGTCCTTAAGGGTGCACACCGTGTCACAAGGGTGACACGCTGTGTCCCAACTTTGGTGTGACAGCCCAGGAGGAGAGCTGCAGCATGTTTGTGTAGACCACAAGTTGCAACTGTCCTTTTTGTTTCCAAGTATAACTCGGGCTTCCGCTTAGATGTCTTAAGCTTCTTCAGAAGGTTTTGCTGGAAGTAAGCTCTTAGTAGGTCTTTAAGCCTTCTTCTGGATTTCCCAAGGTGTCCTGCCTCTTCCCCCCTCAAGCCTCCCATCACATTGTCTGTCCTTGCTACAGCCTGTAAAATCCACAACCGTGGAAGGGGCCAGCTCTCTGTTTATAATGGAATCTAAACATCTGAGAAGTATGTGGTCTCCAGTAGAGATTATGTCACACACAAAAAAGAGTCCCGAGGTGTATCCAAATGCTGGGTATGTCCATGATGGAAAATAAGAGAAATGTACCACGTTAGAAGCTGTTGTGTAGCTGTGTAAATAACTCAAATGGTCCTGTGACTGTTCTTATGAATGAAGGAAGAATATGAGACTCCTTTGGTGACCTAGGAGCACTCAATTCAGGAATATCAAAATATTTCTTTTCTAATGATGTGCATGTCGTAGACGCCTAGTGTTGGAAGAGACCTTAGAAGTCTTCTGGTGCAGCCCCTTGTCCGGGGCTTGAATCCTCAGACTCCCAAATGATGGTTGAAACTTTGCTTGAAAACCTCCAGTGATGGAGCCTCCACAACTCTAGGAGACAGGCTAGTCCAGTGTTTAATAGCTCTCATGTCAGGAAATTCATGTTTCACTTGAGTTTGGATCTCCCGTGAATGGAATTTCCATCTGTTGGCAAGCTTGGCTCTTGAATCCCTCTGGAAGCAAGTTAATATAACACGGAAAGCAATTCTAGTACAAATGCAGGTCCCCTGAAACTCTCCAGATGTTTTGGACTTCACACACAACAGCAGGGCAAGCAATTGTGGCACTGTTGGCTGAAAAATCTGGAGAGAACTAGATTATCTGCCCATTCTGGAATTTCACAATTACCTACTACAAGAAATGATGCTTCTATTGTATGAGCCATCCAGCCAGGCAATTCCATAAATACTTCCTAGCTCATTAAGATAGTAATAGCACAAACTGGTATGTCTACAGCTGTATTTATGCTGGTTGGGGAATTCTGGGAGATAAAAGTTAATGCATCTTAAAAGTTGCTAAGGTTGAGCAACACCGATCAACAGCATCCTCCAGAACCAACTGGAGAGCATATAAGGTGGGCTCCTACAACTGCAAAGCCTAATTGAAATGATATAGTTGCGTCAAGTTTGCGTGTTTTGTATTTTCCTAGAAGAGCAGGCTAAATTTTCTCTCTTTTTTTCTTCCCTAGTGAAATATTCTGTCCTAGAACCACAGACAGCAGAAGCTCCACCGCCTCAAGAAAACGCAAAAGTCTGAAATCTCAGCTCTTTGGCTTAAAAAGAACCAATTGTTGACAGAACAAAACAAAACATGTCGCACACGAGCGCGCGCACGAACACACACACACACACACACACACAAACACGCACACACTCCTCTCACCTAATTTGTAATTTAGCTTTTACAAAACGTTTAATTTGGATTCCAAAGCTATTTAAATGTGCATTCCCCTGACTAGGGCAGGCTTCTTTATTGTGGTTAGGCTTGTAGACTGGTTGAAAAAAATAATAATAATGTTTTTTCGGGTTTTGATTTTTATTTTATTTTTTTAAAATATATCGTTTTGTGAAGAATCGTAGGTTTACATTTGCCATGGGTCATGTCCGAGCTTTGGTCAGGTTGAATATGAAATGCAAAGGTTCTTCCAAGTGGTGTTTCATGGTAGACGTAGAGATGTTCATGAATGACATTTTGATGGGACGGGGTTGGGGAGAGAAAGATAGCAAAGAACAGGGGTGAGAACAGTTGAAGTGCCTGTAGATGACCAGCCCAAAATAGACCAGGTGGAAAGTTTTAGCCAAAGTTCAGCTCTTGGTTACACGTAGCGCTTCCACCGAGGTCCTGGTGAGCTCTTTTGAGGAAGGAGATAAGCCTTCAAGAGAGAACAAGACCCATGCGAAGTTTTAATAGGTCGGGCCAAGAAGAGACCGTAGCCCCACAGAACTGGGCTTCATTTCAGCTATGAACCATCTTCAGTTGTTGTTTTGCTTTGAGTAGGACCAGGGACCTGTGTAAATATACAGCAAGAGGCTAAAGTGGAACCTGGACCTCACTTGTTAGGCTGCTGTGCTGTGCTGACCCCTGTTCGGTCCATTTGGACAGAATGCATGGGCTGCCAGCTTCGTAGTGGTTTTCTCCAACTTTTTGCAGAAGGCTCCAAAGCTTGAATTTTAAGAGAACAGGCTCAAGGGGTGGGGGGAAGGGTGTACCGAGGAGTGTGATGGTTCACTTGCACACCAGCCCTATACTCTAGTTCAATCTGAAGGGAGACATCCAGATAAGTACAGAAATAGTGGGCTAAAATCCAGAAAAGGGAGGTGGTTTGGGTTCAGGAAATGTAAGCGATGGTTATTTTGAAATGTTGCGCCTTCAGGTTTTCAAGGTCTGGTGGTACAAACGTTCTCCAGCGGGTAGCATCTCTCTGCTGGTATTTTATGGGCCAGGTCATCACATCCCACTGATTCATACTTCGGGCCTGGTGTTCCCCAAGGTCTCAAATCTGAGCTCAGCTGGATTGTGGGCAGCCATGTTTATTCAGTAGCCCAGTGTTTGAAGGTCCTTTTCCAGGAGAAGAGAAGATGTTGGGCGTTTTGAGTTTCTAACCTAGATGGAACCTGACTTTTACAACCTCCTCCTATACATGGAGGACACTCTTCTGTTTGCACCTCTTGGTACATCAGAAAGCCTCAAGGTTGTTCTCCTAGGAAAACCCTGAGAACAAGACCACTTGGAGCTGAGTTGCAAGCCAAGATGGGTTCTCCTGGGTGTGAATTCTCCTGTTGGCCTGATTCCTGGGATATTCCCGAGGAAAGTAAGGAACAAGATTGCTTTGCCATTTCTGGGAAGATGAAACCATCCACGGGGGTAGGATGAGATAGCAGTTCCCATCAGCCCTCCATCCTGTTCATATCAAACCAGCTTAGTTGATTTTCCCACTGTGCCTACGCAGTCACTAGTTGGGCTTAGTTTCCTTGCCTCAATAATAAACCACGAGGGGAGACCTAAGAACGGTGGTAAGATCCTTACTACTGTTCATGTTCTCCTTTTGTTTGACTCATGAAGGGGAAGGGGAAGACCACTCTAGCTCTACACCAAGGGTTTCCAACCTTGGCCACTTTAACACTTGTGGACTCCCAACTCCCAAAATTCAGTAGCCAGCATGGCTGGCTCAGTAATTCTGGGATTTGAAGTCCACAAGTCCTAAACTGGCCAAGGTTGGACACCTCTGCTCTACACCGTTGTACAAAGATGATTCTGGGGGAAACGGGTATTCACAGATAAAGGCCACATGGATGCCTGTTTTCACTCTTTTCCCAAAACAAACCTTGATCCCTGATATGTCTTAAATTTAGCTGGATCCCCAGTTTATTTTTATATTTGGCAGGGGCATCAGAGGAAGTGAAGCAAGGGGACTTTCTAGCCTTATTTTGGGAGAATTTTGATTATAACCACTATCGGTGCTAGCCCAGAGGAGCAGCAACTGCGGAGCTGAGCAAGAAATGAGCTTAAATGTTGGCCCATGTTGGTCATTCTCAACCTAAGTCCTGTTAGCCGTGCATTTCACCATTGTAGCAAGGTGTACATTTTCACATGCAAGGTTATAGTATTTTTTTCTCTCTTTAGTGCATGTAATCGGTCCATGGTATGTATTACACGGTGTTGGGGGGAGGGAAATGCGGGTGAAATACCTAATTCAGATTTCATTTTCAAACTAATCCTTTGTGATGTTTGTAGGGGACTTTTCTGGTAGGTTTCAGTGTGGGAATCATCAGAGCTAGAAGAGGTTTACATGGTGTGGTCAAAAAAGCCCAGATGGTAGTCACAGTACTTAAAAAAGAATGGACAGAATCATAGCTGCCGTATTGATGTTTTTTGACCACATTCTGTGAGCCCACCAGATCCATAGACTTCATTTGATTGAGGCACGTTGGACCCTCTGTGGATGCTGCTGTGCGTTGCGGAAATTTCTGGGTGAATCTCTTAATGTCAGGAGCACTACCAGCTGTATTTATAGGGGTTTAAGGAAATCTCTTGAAATATTATCCTGAGACCCCCATGTTTATCCATGATGGAGGTGAATCCCATGGATTTCAGTGGAGCGTCAATAGAGGTGGTTATAAATGCTAGTCCAGATGGTTTGGTTTAGCTTCATAATTTGCACTCCACAAGCATAAGACCTTTAAAAAAATGTGTATATTTTGGACGTACTAAATTCTCTTATCCCACCCCATCTCCTCTCGTGTTAAATTAGGACTTGGGGGGGGGTCAACAGAAGAAATCAAAGGAGGACTGCAGCTTATTTAAGGAAGCCACTGAGATGACTTTTCATTGATGGGATTCTGCTACGGAGGGATTCTCCTATGAAGGACTCAGTGTTTGACCAAGAACTATGTAGGGGAATAATTTTGAAGGTTCACCATATTTGAGATGGCTTCTAGGTACTAGAGAGTGAGGTCTGGTCTTGCATCTCTGTTTTCCAAATTTTGTAGAGCAGAAAAGTCCAGGGGGAACTCAACCACACAGATGAATCTACAACACAGCCTCTTTCCAACTACCGTCTCTCTTTTTAAAGAAAAAGTCAAGTACATCAAACATTAGACTAGGGTTATAGTGATGCATCTTTAGATAAAATAGTGGGGAAATGGTGGCTGTACTTGGACTAGAAATCATTTTCTCACCTAGGTGGAAGTTTCTTTCTTTCTTTCTTTCTTTTGGCCAATTATGGGGAAACGTTACTGTAGGTGTAAAAATTGTCTGTTTCGTTGTCTTTCTATTGCTGTCCTGCCACTGATCTCCATCTTGAAATACTGTGTCCCGGAGGAATTCCGCTACCCCACATAGATGTTTGAAAAATGTTATGTATTGCAGATTCTATGAACAAAAAACAAAACAAAACAAAAAACAATTGTCCCGAGTGTTACGTTAAGGAACAAAATCTACCAGGTTTTCAAGATGTGGCAGTTGATGAACCTGTGAAGTACTTCCCTTCCCCAAAGTCTTTTTGTATGAATTTGGTAAATGGTTATGCCTTAATGTAAATTTTAGATAGTCCAATGGAAGGAACTACCTAACTAACATCAGGTGCAAAGAGCAACAGTGACTGTTACTGCCTCCCCAGACCATGATCAACAGCGCAGTCTTCCCCAAAAATCAAGACTTAAGTTCTTGTGCCCTGGTTTAGTTCTTTCCCTAAGCAACGATGGCCCAGGCAAAGTCTCCACGGGGTTCCTGTCTCCAGGCCACCAAGGCAGAGGATGAAGGAGTAGCAAGGGTTGTCTGAGGAAGACCCAACCCTGTTGCCCTTCAGACCTTCAAAAATCCTACTGTGGAGCAGGATGTCTACCAACTTGGGTCTAGGACAACTTGCTGCAGCCAAATCACCGCGGGTCAATTCAATGCTGTATTAATCCTTCCATTCAGTTACTTGGATGATTGGTGACCCTGTTTTCCTTGAAATTATTGTAACTCTTGTCCCAAAGGTGCTTTTTCAAAAGGCAACTGGACTTTTTGCTCTCCCTTGAAGACGTCTATGGAGATTCTCAATCATCCAAGTCAAGAGGCAACTGGACTTTGTTGTTTTTCTTTGAAGACGTTTCATTTCTCATCCAAGAAGCTTCTTCAATTGCTTTTTGAAAAAACAAAAACATCTCTGGGATTACCGTGACCTGGAGGGCCGAGAACCTCCGTAAATATTGTTCACTCTTGTATTTCTGGATTGACTTTTATTTTTTGATGATGGGTCACGGTTCCGTCGAAGTTAATTTTAACTTTTTGTATTGGTTGAGTTGTCTCGCGTTGAGTTGGCTGTGGCGAGTTGTCCCGTTCTGTACCAACTCTATTGCCCTTGAAATACCCAAAGGTTAGAAGAGAGAAAAACCCCATGTGTAGATGGTACAATTAAGCCTAAGATTCTGTGTATCGAGGCGGTTGTGTTGACTTGCTAGGGCCATTCTCGGGAAGTCGAGAAGATGCCAGGGATCCACATCAGGGGTCTTTTGCATGCAAAGCATGTGCTTTTTTACCCAACTATGACCTCTTCCCCGCTGGGGAATTCTGCCCGTTGTCTGTATATTCAACCAACAGTATGTTTGGCTTTTTCCTGGCTAAACCTCTCTGTAGCAGTGCCAGCCGTGTTGTACCACACCTCTGGGAAGGGGGAGTGGGTCCGTTTCCGTTTTTTCTACTCTGCTTTTTTATATTGGTAATTAAAACAGATCTGTGAGCTGAAAGGCCACATCATGTAAGCGTAGCCAGATGTTCAGAGCAGGACAAATAACAGGCGTTTATAAAAGTCTTCCACCAGGCCAAAGATGTATATATATATATGTAGAGACCACATATTGTGCCCCAAATTTATATGCAACGCGTGTTGGTAGTCAAAACGAAACATCTAATTAGAGAAGAAGAAGAAAAAAGGTTTCCTGTTAGGAGAAAGCTAGGAGGAACTTAGCCACTTCTACTTTGTAAAGAACCGGCCTAGATTTTTACCTTTCTCTCCTTCTTGTTGGCATTTTCTTTTGGCAAATGTGGACCGGTGTCAGTTGTCTCCTTCTCGTACAACTGGCAGTATCTGGTTTGCTCGTTGGCCTCTGCTGCTGCGGTAGGAAATAGCGTTCATCCGAAGGGTAGAACCGAAGAGCAGAAAAGGGAGCTAAAACAAAAGGGGGTGGGGAGAAAAGTGGGAAGGAAAAATAGATCAGACGACCGATTAAAAATGGAGACGGCGTATCCAAAGAAGCGAAAGCTTTTATTTAAGCAATACATACATACCGTTGGCTAATACAGAAAGGATCTGTTCCCAGTTGAAAATTGCGAGTTATGTTGTCAAAAATGTAGAGAGAAAAAAAGAAAAAAAAGGCAGACTCATTTTGCTAAAGTGCATATAAGAATTACGGGGGGATGGCTATCCGAACTTGAATGCTGAAGTACAAAACTGGAAAAAGTAAATAAATAAATGGGAAAAAAAAGACTTGTAAACAAAACGGTGTCCTTGTGTCACTTCTCTGTGTGTGGTTTGCACAACGCGCAGCCTGTTTTCTCATGTAAAGAAAAAAAAAACAATCTTGCACTCTTTAAGGGACACAAGTAGTTCCCAACTTCTTCTTGTTAGTTGTGAAGTCATGTCCGAGCCATCGCGACCCCATGGACAACATTCCTCCAGGCCTTCCTGTTCTCTACCATCTTCTGGAGTCCATTCAAGCTCACGCCTACTGCTTCAGTGACTCCATCCAGCCACCTCATTCTCTGTCGTCCCCTTCTTCTCTTGCCCTCCATCTTTCCCAGCATCACAGTTCTCCAGTGAGTCCTTCCTTCTCATTAGGTGGCCAAAGCACTTGAGTTTCAACTTCAGGATCTGGCCTTCTAAAGAGCAGTCAGGGTTGATCTCCTCTAGGACTGACCGGTTGGATCACCTTGCAGTCCAGGGGACTTATAACTTAATAACAGTTCATTTAGTCAGCAGCACTGAAAAGTGACTTATGAACTGCTTTTCAGCCTTATGGACGTTGCAGCCTCCCCACGGTCACGTGATCAAAATTTGGACGCTGGGCAACTGGTTCATATTTGTGACGGTGTGTCCTGGGGCCAAGTGATTCCCCCTTTGGAACATTCCGACAGACAAAATCAATGGGGGTGCCAGATTCACTTAACCACCGGGTGACCAACTTGAACAACTGCAGCGGTTTGCTCAACAACTGGGGCAAGGAAGGTCGTAAAAGGGGGCAAAACCCACTTAACTGCCTCGCTTAACGACAGAAATTTTGGGCCCGATTACGGCTGTAAGTCGAGGGCTGCCTGTATTCCCTTTTTATTGCACAACCTCCGTGTCAAGGGGACGCCATCGTAATAAGAGGCAAGGGGAAACTTCTTGGGGGTGTGTGGAAGCACCAGTTTTGTAAGCTGTCCTGACCAGTATTGCAGAGCAACCCTCTCTAGAAGGGAAGTGGTGAAGGACGCACCTGGTTTAAGAATTTTGATGCATCTTTGATTCAGAAGTTACGTTTGCAGCTTCCCCTTTTGAGTAAAGCAGGTGAGTGGGGTGGGGGGAATATCCAGGCAGATGCTGCGTGCACACGTGGTCCTGAATACTGAGAGTAAGGATGAGAAATTGGCAACCATCAGCCTCCCCCCCCCTTCAAGCTTCACTACTGGGAGGTGGGTTTATTGTCCTCTTCCCCCCCCCCCAAATACTGGTATGAAAGAGGGGTCAGAGAAAGTCAAGATCCCTTAAGGGTAAAGATGAGGATTCTGTGCCAGTTAAATGAGGGGGGATTTCATTGTGTAAATTTGCAAAGTGGGTGAGAACTTCCCCATTTGAGGAAGGGAAGTGGGGGCAGGGAGTTCCCTTTGAAAGTTTTGCCTGTTCTGAGCGACAGAAACTAAGATTTTTCACCAAGTGCACTGCCAAAAATATGTATAGTTTTGGGAACTTAGGTGGCCATGTTTTATAGCAGTTCCAACCAGCTTTCCTGGTCCATGACATGCAGAGTTAGGGCATTACCACTGTCAACACCTCCCCCCCCCAGTGATGGTTTTGTCCAGGCTACTTTGAGACAGAACTCAACAGCTGTGCAACATGTAAGATGGGCAATCTTGACTAACCAACCCATCGTTCGTGACTTACCTTGTCCGGCTCTAAGATTGTGACAAGACACCCACCGTCTGTCACTAAGGGTAGCCATGCTGTTTTAGGAAAGAACTCGAGTTGCTCAAGAGAAAAGGCAGAAAAACATGATAGCTTTGACGTCTATGGAGATTCTCTGTCCTCCAGGTCCTGGTTGTCCCAAAGGTGCTTTTTCAAGGGGCAACTGGACTTCCTTGTTTTTCCTTTGAAGACGTTTCGCTTGTCATCCAAGAAGCTTCTTCAGCTGCTGCTGCTTCAGAGCAGAAGAAGCTTCTGAGAGGAGAAGCGAAACATCTTCCAAGAAAAACGAGAAAGTTCAGTTGCCTCCTGAAAAAGCACATTTGGGACTGTAGCTTTGAGTGTCTCAGAGCACCCAGAAAAATGCCAACACGCGCAAGGACTTTTTATTTAGTTCCTTTGTTACAAGTTGCTCTCTTTTCTAAACCACTTGTAAAGATTGCCTTCTATGTTACAGGTGGCTTGGCTTTGCAAAGACCCCTTTGTGGTCCAGGGAGAGAGGGAGGGAGAGAGAGAGAGAGGGAGAAAGGGAGAGAGAGAGAGAGGGAGAAAGGGAGAGAGAGAGAGAGAGAGAGAGAGAGAGAGAGAGAGAGAGAGAGAGAGAGAGAGGGAATGAAGGGCAGACACTGGTGTTTTTTTTTTTTTTAACAAAGTCTGTCCACCTGCAATTCACCTATTTAGATGCCTAAGAAAGGGGTAAAGGCCACTGAAAACTAAAAAAAAAAACCAACCCTCTGGAAAATAAATGAAAAAAAAACACAGCTCAGCCTCGAATTTGTATTGCTAAGTGAGAAATTCGTTAAGTGAGTTTTGCCCGAATTTTACACATTTTCCCCTACACGTTTGTTAGCAGTTCTTAAGTTAGTAACCCGGTTGTGAAGTGACTCTGGTTTCCCCCTCGACTTTGCTACTCAGACGGTCGCCAAAGGGGGATCACGTGACTCTGGGGACACGGCAACCGTCATAAATGTGAGTCGGTTGTCAAGCCTCCGAATGTCAACACACCGTGGCCAGGGAGTTGCTGCAAAAAGTCCTAAGTGTGAAAAACGGTCCCGAGTCCCTTTTTTCCCCAGCACCGTCGTCGCTTTGAACGGTCACTAAATGAACCGCTGTAAGTCGAGGACTGCCCATCACCGAGTCAATTCCGTGGTCTCCGCTTGGAAAGGGAGCAGGAAGTAGGTGTGAAAAATCGTGTCCAATAATCCAGCAATTCAACGGTTCCTTGTGCAACCGGGAAGGGTTTGTCTCCCGAGCGACGAATCCCGCTCGTTGCTTTTAAAACATCTTTATTCAAAATATACAACTGCTATAGGAATAATAATAATAAAAAAAAATCATCCATTTCAAAGTGCATCAGAGCTGTGCCCCAAAATACAGCACTGGCTGTGGCTTGCTTTCCCCTTTTCTGAAAAACCCAACCCGCCACGTATTAAGTACCGAGGAAAGCGGACAGGTTTCGCTTCCCGGACACAAAGCCAACTTCGTACGATTTTTTTTTCCCGTGGGAGGCGACGTTGTAATGCGCCCTCCGCCGTCGCTTGCCCAGTCGACAGGTTTCCTGGTTTTTGCTGCAAGCTACAAGAAGTAAAGAGTTTGGCCGTCCCTTCCACGCTCAACATTTTTTTTTTAAAAAAAAAGGACAGATAAGAAAGGAAGGAGTAACCAACACCACTCTTCAGCGCGACACGGCAAGGAAAGAAATACTTTTGGCTTTACTGTAACAGACACCGAGGAAAGTGGGGGGGAGAGAACACCCCCCCTCTGCCCTCCACACCCCCAAGTCACACCAGGGGGAGGGAGGGCGAGTTTCTGGCAGCAGGTAACATGTCTGTAGTAAACCTCGTGGCCTCGGCTGGGAGCGGGGGGGGGTCGGGTCAGACGGAAGTGTGGACCGGTGTGACGGCGGGAGAGGAGCCTCGCTCGGAGGAAGACGAAATGGAGCGCTTGGCGGCTTCCCGCTGCAGCTCCTCCACCCTCTTTTGCAGCTCCGTTCGGATGGCCAGGAGTTCTTTCAAGTTCTGGTGAATCGGCATCTGTGGGAATGGAAGACAGGTTTGGGTTGGCCTTGGAAGAGCCCAGAGCCCGAGGTTTAAGAGAAGATCGTCTTGATTGTCATTTTTTTTTTTTTTTACTGTGGGCACACTGGCCCACATTAAAAATGAACTTCTGTTGCCTGCTCTCAAAAGGAAGTATATATCTACCCATAGACATTCGTAACACATCTATATATCTATATATTTATAATATAATATAATAATGATAAAGTTGGAAGGGACCTTGGAGATCATCTAATCCAACCCCCTGCTCAGGCAGGAAACCCTATACCATTTCAGACAAATGGCTGTCCAGTCTCTTCTTAAAAACTTCCAGGGTTGGGGCATTCACCGCTTCTGGAGGCAGGTTGTTCCACTGGTTAATTGTTCTAAATGTCAGGAAGTTTCTCCTTAGTTCTAGGTTGCTTCTCTCCTTGATTAGTTTCCATCTGTTGCTTCTTGTCCTGCCTTCAGGCACTTTGGAGAATAGCTTGACCCCCAATTCTTCTTTGGGGCAGCCCCTGAGATATTGGAAGGCTGCTATCATGTCCCCCCTCGTCCTTCTCTTCGTTAAACTAGACATACCCAATTCCAGCAACCGTTCCTTATATGTTTTAGCCTCCAGTCCCCTGATCATCTTTGTTGCTCTTCTCTTATATCTATATATGTATCTTTCCACAGTGGCCCAACGCTCGAAGAGAGCGAATTTGTGGCCTTCTCGTTGACGGGAGTCACCCAAGTCCAGGCACTGCAAAGCTGGCTGGGGTATTCTGGGAGTTGAAGTCCACGTATCTTAAAGCCAGGAAGGTCGACAAACGCTGTTTTAAAAGTGTTAGAAGAAACACAGAAATGCCTTGCTGATTTGGAAGAGGGAAAAAAAAATCACAGGGGAGGGAGGGAGGGAGGGAAGGAAGGTTAACTCCCCAGCTGCAAAGGTAGAAATTACCTTGCAGAAAGCCTGATATATGACTAATTCCAGGTGACAAAGGGATGGATAAGCCCTTCCTACCTGCTGCATGGATGTCTGGTGGGCAATTGTGAAGACCTCTGAAGGGCACCTGATCACAGAGGGCTGAGCTAGTTATTTTTAAGCTCGTTCACGGGAGTTTGAACACTGGGAGACAGCTGTTCGCTTTCTGTGTCATAATTCTGCTCTTGTGTGGAATCATAGCCACTGAACATTCATGCATGTATTGGAAAGCTAGGGGTGTGTGTGTGTGTGTGTGTGTGTAGTTATTGCCATTGACGAGACAGAGGGCTGAGCAGCTGCATTCACACACTACATTTAACCCAGTGGCTGAATTTACCAGTCTTTCTGGCGAATTGTACAATATACTGCGGCATAAATTAATTGAAGGAATTAGCTTGGTGAAACACACAAAGTCACACACAAGCACACATCCCAAGCTTAAAAGCCACTCAAATTTAGCCCGTTGTGGAAATGCTGCTGTTGCTGGGAATCAGCCTTGGTTAGACACGTATGAATAAAATCTGCGAATTACGCGGGTTTTAAAGATGCTTCCCATCTACCGGAGAGAGAGAGAGAGTAAGGATTTGTTTTGAATCTGGCTGGTAAGCGCAGCGGATTTCATTTCGGGATTTATTAGGTGCTTAATTAAGAAGGTTTCTAGTACTCCCCCAGCCCAGCTAATTATAAGAATCTAACCTGTAGATCACAAACAGGCGGGTTACGCGGCTGCCCGGTGGGCAGGATATAAAACCACGCAAAGGGACTACGTTTTGCTAACGCAGCTTCTGCCTCGCAACTGACGCAAGCTTCAAATTGCCACCATTTAATGGGGATTTTTTCTCTCCACCCATCTGGAGAAAAGAGATGGCATCTCTTCCCCCCTCCTCTTTTCCAGCATTGTGTGGTACCGGGGGGGGGGGGGGAGAAAGAACAACACGCACACCCACAAGGAGAAGCGCAAAAGGCGGTATAACCGCCACGCACTTCAGGCATGGCTTGTTCTAAACCGTATGGAACCAAACTCTATACAGGCTTCCTGCGTCCCTTCGCTAGCTCAAGGACACCCATTCAAAGGGAAATTGTTCTGCAATGAATGTGTCACTTCTGGAGGGCCTTAAATCTTTTTTTTTTCCCCCCTCCTCCCCTAGGAAGAAAAGCATCTGTCGAATGAAATGACTATTTTAACCCCGCTCTTTGATGCTACGAGACGGTCCCACCCACACGGAATGGCGTTAGAACGGAACAGAACTGTGCACCCAGCAATCACCCACCTCTTGGAGGCAGAAAGACAATGGGTGTTTTTGCCTTGGGGGGAGGGAATTGACTGTGGCTATTCCCTTTTTGCCTTCTTGGGGGGGGGGAATTGACTTTGGCACAGGTGTTGGAAAGCATGCAGGATTCTGTACTGCCACGGGGCAGGATCAAATACCAATGTGCTTCTCTGACTCAAGAGCGGGGGGTCTTCAAACTTGGCCCTTTGATGACTTGGGGACTTCAGCTCCCAGAATTCCTCAGCCAGCTATATTGGGAGTTGAACTCCCCAAGTCATCAAGGGGCCATCGTTCCCCCACCTCTGCCTTAAAGGCGGCATTTATGGGACTGGTATCAATGAGGTGGGCTGGCCCCACCATGATCTACATCAGGGGTCTTCAAACGTGGCCCTTTTATGACTTGTGGACTTCAGCTCCCAGAATTCCTCAGCCAGGCGTGCCTTTCTGCTTAACAGAGCTTTAGCCATCCCAGATAATCCACTGCATGTTTTCTCTCAAGAGAGCTTGTTCCCAAGTTAGCTTATGGAGGACTGGAAAGCTTCCACCCTCAAACCAGCTTCTACTTTCAGAGGGTCATTCCAGCGAGGAATGGCTTATGGGGTTTGCAACACTGACTGATGTCAAGTGGGAAGACCCTTTCAGTGGGAAGCTTATCAACTTGAGGGTCTTTTGGGGTCCTCACTGCTCTCTGCAGACATTTCATGACCCAACTAGGTAGCATCATCAGGGCTAGAAGGGAGCAGGGTCTGTTCCCTTGAGTTCTTCTTCAAGACTGTGCACGCCCTTTTCACGCAGAAGGTTCCCGCAAGGGAATGTTCAGATGCATCAGCACACACTTCGCCCCTCTACAACAACCGTCACTACAAGATGTGGGAGCTGCCAATCTTGGGCAGCTGGCTTGGTGGGGGCCACGTTTCCAGGTGGCCCTCCAGAAACAACATCTCAGTGTAACCTCAAAGTATTCAGGGAGAAAACTGAGAATGGAGCCTCAGTTCCTAGGATGGATGTTTTGAAATATGGGACACCCCCAGGTGCCTACCCCTCAGGTTGATTTGTGGTTAAGACCGCATTCTTTCATGGTTTGCTTTGGAAGGAACAAGCAGATCACCTAAATTTGGCTGGCCGAGGCCCAGCGTGAGATCTATCCATGTTTATTTCAGGGAACGATCACAGATGGCTTTAATATCTGCCTGAATAATTGATAATGAAATGTGGACCACACTATCTATTTATACTTCAGCACCAAGCTTTTTATATCTGGAGGGGGAGAAGCTTAGAACAGTTTGCTGATTTATCTATTATTATTTAAAATCTACGTGTACGTTTGTGTCTGGCCTTCCCTAACCAAGAGCTTTTTCCACACAAGGCGCTATTCCCAGCAGTCTTGATAAAACACTTCCTTCCCAAATTGTGGTTCCTTCAAAACAATCTGCAGTCGGTTGCTTTTTTTGCCAAAATTCCACACCAGAGTGGCATATTCATTAGCTGGCAGCCGACTTGTAACTGCTGATCAGAACATCTCCCATCTAAGCACAGCATACGTTTCCTGCGATTTTACTTTTTAAAAAATATATATATATATATATTTTTAGCAAGCTGATTTCCAAAGCTGCATCCACCCTGAGAAGCTGAGAACGATTTATTCACAGGATATGTTAAGGGATTCTGGAGAAGGGCTGAGACGCTGTTCATTAGCTACTATTTTAGCAAAGAAAACTAGAGTCAGCACAAACACATAATCCGAGCTGGCAACCAGATGAACTTTCTAAATAGGTCCTAGGAGGCAATTAGCGATTATGAGTTTTCTGCACCTAAAATGTCTTTCTGGTGCGGCAACGCAAAATCTAAAGGTAGGAGACGGAATGCAAAGTGCTTACGATCCAAATCTTGGAATCTGGCTCCTGAAAAAGGGTCATAAGGGGAAAGGGAATTCTCTTAAAGCAGTGGTGGCGAACCTATGGCACGGGTGCCAGAGGCGGCAATCAGAGCCCTCTCTGTGGGCACGCGCACCGTCGCCCCAGTCCTAGGCCTTCAGCTGGGTTTTATAAAACCTTTTCGCTTTAGGCCTCCGCCGCCATGTGCAAAAAAAAAAAAAAAGTTCAATCAATCAATCAATTTCAACTTCTCGCAGGAAAAAAAAAATCTTGCAAAGTTGGAATTGATTGATTGAACTTTTTAGTCCCACCCAGTCTGCCGTTACCACCGCAGCCACGCCCACCCAATGGGCCACACCCACCCAATGGGCCACACCCACCCGGCACCCGACGATGCATAAGTGGGTTTGGGGTTGCAGTTTGGGCACTCGGTCTCTAAAAGGTTCGCCATCACTGTCTTAAAGTATCTGGCCATATTAAGAACGTGCAGTGGATCCTCACATTTTTAACCAAGAGTTATGACTTCTTAGTTTTTAGTAACAATGACACAGTGACTAGATCCTGAGCTGTCTCCACATGAAAGGAAGAGAAAGTTTAGCAGATCCAATCTCCTGTCAATCACACCTTTTGATGACTTGTACGATGTAGTTAAAACTCTTTTTAAGATTTCTAGTTCGTTCAGGATTACATGCTTCTATCCTTGGTTTCCTCGGTGTTAATTTGCAAAAGGCACGCAAACTGCAGGGACACGCGTGGAAAGCTTACCTGGGGTCTCGTTCGGGGGTTCCAACGTACGTAGTAGTTGACCCACAATTCCAAATGACTTAAGCTGGCTACTGGATAGAGAACGTGGTTCTTGTAGTTGACGTAGAAAGGGTTACTGAATTCCTCCACCTGGCTATTGATGTGGGACCACAAAGAGACAGTCTTGGTATTTATCTCCTGAGGAAAACAAACAAGGTGATGAAGAGGTAGGCTTGCAAAAAAAATTATACTGCATTATAACTCAAAGAGGGATGATGATATATAATTGTACTATTTTAAAGGATTTATACTGTTTTAAAGGAAGTTAAAGATTGTATTTAATGGGTTCAAGATATGATTAATAGTAATAAGACTAGTTGCTAATTTTCATTTTTTATTTCTGTAGAAATGGCTAAGTTTAATTTTTAGATATTTGGATTTGGGGAAGATGTATAATTATATTTTGATTATTTGNGGGAATCATCAGAGCTAGAAGAGGTTTACATGGTGTGGTCAAAAAAGCCCAGATGGTAGTCACAGTACTTAAAAAAGAATGGACAGAATCATAGCTGCCGTATTGATGTTTTTTGACCACATTCTGTGAGCCCACCAGATCCATAGACTTCATTTGATTGAGGCACGTTGGACCCTCTGTGGATGCTGCTGTGCGTTGCAGAAATTTCTGGGTGAATCTCTTAATGTCAGGAGCACTACCAGCTGTATTTATAGGGGTTTAAGGAAATCTCTTGAAATATTATCCTGAGACCCCCATGTTTATCCATGATGGAGGTGAATCCCATGGATTTCAGTGGAGCATCAATAGAGGTGGTTATAAATGCTAGTCCAGATGGTTTGGTTTAGCTTCATAATTTGCACTCCACAAGCATAAGACCTTTAAAGAAATGTGTATATTTTGGACGTACTAAATTCTCTTATCCCACCCCATCTCCTCTCGTGTTAAATTAGGACTTGGGGGGGTGTGGTCAACAGAAGAAATCAAAGGAGGACTGCAGCTTATTTAAGGAAGCCACTTGAGATGACTTTTCATTGATGGGATTCTGCTACGGAGGGATTCTCCTATGAAGGACTCACTGTTTGACCAAGAACTATGTAGGGGAATAATTTTGAAGGTTCACCATATTTGAGATGGCTTCTAGGTACTAGAGAGTGAGGTCTGGTCTTGCATCTCTGTTTTCCAAATTTTGTAGAGCAGAAAAGTCCAGGGGGAACTCAACCACACAGATGAATCTACATCACAGCCTCTTTCCAACTACCGTCTCTCTTTTTAAAGAAAAAGTCAAGTACATCAAACATTAGACTAGGGTTATAGTGATGCATCTTTAGATAAAATAGTGGGGAAATGGTGGCTGTACTTGGACTAGAAATCATTTTCTCACCTAGGTGGAAGTTTCTTTCTTTCTTTTGGCCAATTATGGGGAAACGTTACTGTAGGTGTAAAAATTGTCTGTTTCGTTGTCTTTCTATTGCTGTCCTGCCACTGATCTCCATCTTGAAATACTGTGTCCCGGAGGAATTCCGCTACCCCACATAGATGTTTGAAAAATGTTATGTATTGCAGAATCTATGAACAAAAACAAAACAAAACAAAAAACAATTGTCCCAAGTGTTACGTTAAGGAACAAAAGCTACCAGGTTTTCAAGATGTGGCAGTTGATGAACCTGTGAAGTACTTCCCTTCCCCAAAGTCTTTTTGTATGAATTTGGTAAATGGTTATGCCTTAATGTAAATTTTAGATAGTCCAATGGAAGGAACTACCTAACTAACATCAGGTGCAAAGAGCAACAGTGACTGTTACTGCCTCCCCAGACCATGATCAACAGCGCAGTCTTCCCCAAAAGTCAAGACTTAAGTTCTTGTGCCCTGGTTTAGTTCTTTCCCTAAGCAACGATGGCCCAGGCAAAGTCTCCACGGGGTTCCTGTCTCCAGGCCACCAAGGCAGAGGATGAAGGAGTAGCAAGGGCTGTCTGAGGAAGACCCAACCCTGTTGCCCTTCAGACCTTCAAAAATCCTACTGTGGAGCAGGATGTCTACCAACTTGGGTCTAGGACAACTTGCTGCAGCCAAATCACCGCGGGTCAATTCAATGCTGTATTAATCCTTCCATTCAGTTACTTGGATGATTGGTGACCCTGTTTTCCTTGAAATTATTGTAACTCTTGTCCCAAAGGTGCTTTTTCAAAAGGCAACTGGACTTTTTCTCCCTTGAAGACGTCTATGGAGATTCTCAATCATCCAAGTCAAGAGGCAACTGTTGTTTTTCTTTGAAGACATTTCACTTCTCATCCAAGAAGCTTCTTCAATTGCTTTTTGAAAAAACAAAAACATCTCTGGAATTACCGTGACCTGGAGGGCCGAGAACCTCCGTAAATATTGTTCACTCTTGTATTTCTGGATTGACTTTTATTTTTTGATGATGGGTCACGGTTCCATCGAAATTAATTTTAACTTTTTGTATTGGTTGAGTTGTCTCGCGTTGAGTTGGCTGTGGCGAGTTGTCCCGTTCTGTACCAAGTCTATTGCCCTTGAAATACCCAAAGGTTAGAAGAGAGAAAAACCCCATGTGTAGATGGTACAATTAAGCCTAAGATTCTGTGCATCGAGGCGGTTGTGTTGACTTGCTAGGGCCATTCTCGGGAAGTCCGAGAGATGCCAGGGATCCACATCAGGGGTCTTTTGCATGCAAAGCATGTGCTCTTTTACCCAACTATGACCTCTTCCCCGCTGGGGAATTCTGCCCGTTGTCTGTATATTCAACCAACAGTATGTTTGGCTTTTTCCTGGCTAAACCTCTCTGTAGCAGTGCCAGCCGTGTTGTACCACACCTCTGGGAAGGGGGAGTGGGTCCATTTCCGTTTTTCTACTCTGCTTTTTTATATTGGTAATTAAAACAGATCTGTGAGCTGAAAGGCCACATCATGTAAGCGTAGCCAGATGTTCAGAGCAGGACAAATAACAGGCGTTTATAAAAGTCTTCCACCAGGCCAAAGATGTATATATATATATGTAGAGACCACATATTGTGCCCCAAATTTATATGCAACGCGTGTTGGTAGTCAAAACGAAACATCTAATTAGAGAAGAAGAAGAAAAAAGGTTTCCTGTTAGGAGAAAGCTAGGAGGAACTTAGCCACTTCTACTTTGTAAAGAACCGGCCTAGATTTTTTACCTTTCTCTCCTTCTTGTTGGCATTTTCTTTTGGCAAATGTGGACCGGTGTCAGTTGTCTCCTTCTCGTACAACTGGCAGTATCTGGTTTGCTCGTTGGCCTCTGCTGCTGCGGTAGGAAATAGCGTTCATCCGAAGGGTAGAACCGAAGAGCAGAAAAGGGAGGTAAAACAAAAGGGGGTGGGGAGAAAAGTGGGAAGGAAAAATAGATCAGACGACCGATTAAAAATGGAGACGGCGTATCCAAAGAAGCGAAAGCTTTTATTTAAGCAATACATACATACCGTTGGCTAATACAGAAAGGATCTGTTCCCAGTTGAAAATTGCGAGTTATGTTGTCAAAAATGTAGAGAGAAAAAAAGAAAAAAAAGGCAGACTCATTTTGCTAAAGTGCATATAAGAATTACGGGGGGATGGCTATCCGAACTTGAATGCTGAAGTACAAAACTGGAAAAAGTAAATAAATAAATGGGAAAAAAAAGACTTGTAAACAAAACGGTGTCCTTGTGTCACTTCTCTGTGTGTGGTTTGCACAACGCACAGCCTGTTTTCTCATGTAAAGAAAAAAAAAACAATCTTGCACTCTTTAAGGGACACAAGTAGTTCCCAACTTCTTCTTGTTAGTTGTGAAGTCATGTCCGAGCCATCGCGACCCCATGGACAACGTTCCTCCAGGCCTTCCTGTCCTCTACCATCTTCTGGAGTCCATTCAAGCTCACGCCTCCTGCTTCAGTGACTCCATCCAGCCACCTCATTCTCTGTCGTCCCCTTCTTCTCTTGCCCTCCATCTTTCCCAGCATCACAGTTCTCCAGTGAGTCCTTCCTTCTCATTAGGTGGCCAAAGCACTTGAGTTTCAACTTCAGGATCTGGCCTTCTAAAGAGCAGTCAGGGTTGATCTCCTCTAGGACTGACCGGTTGGATCACCTTGCAGTCCAGGGGACTTATAACTTAATAACAGTTCATTTAGTCAGCAGCACTGAAAAGTGACTTATGAACTGCTTTTCAGCCTTACGGACGTTGCAGCCTCCCCACGGTCACGTGATCAAAATTTGGACGCTGGGCAACTGGTTCATATTTGTGACGGTGTGTCCTGGGGTCACGTGATTCCCCTTTTGGCAACCTTCCGACAGGCAAAATCAATGGGGGGGTGCCAGATTCACTTAACCACCGTGTGACTTGAACAACTGCAGCGGTTTGCTTAACAACTGGGGCAAGGAAGGTCGTAAAAGGGGGCAAAACCCACTTAACTGCCTCGCTTAACGACAGAAATTTTGGGCCCGATTACGGCTATAAGTCGAGGGCTGCCTGTATTCCCCTTTTATTGCACAACTTCCGTGTCAAGGGGACGCCATCGTAATAAGAGGCAAGGGGAAACTTCTGGGGGGGGGGGAAAGCACCAGTTTTGTAAGCTGTCCTGACCAGTATAGCAGAGCAACCCTCTCTAGAAGGGAAGTGGTGAAGGACGCACCTGGTTTAAGAATTTTGATGCATCTTTGATTCAGAAGTTACGTTTGCAGCTTCCCCTTTTGAGTAAAGCAGGTGAGTGGGGTGGGGGGAATCTCCAGGCGGATGCTGCGTGCACGCGTGGTCCTGAATACTGAGAGTAAGGATGAGAAATTGGCAACCATCAGCCACCCCCCCCTTCAAGCTTCACTACTGGGAGGTGGATTTATTGTCCTCTTCCCCCCCCCCCCAAATACTGGTATGAAAGAGGGGTCAGAGAAAGTCAAAATCCCTTAAGGGTAAAGATGAGGATTCTGTGCCAGTTAAATGAGGGGGGGATTTCATTGTGTAAATTTGCAAAGTGGGTGAGGAGAACTTCCCCATTTGAGGAAGGGAAGTGGGGGGAGGGAGTTCCCTTTGAAAGTTTTGCCTGTTCCGAGCGACAGAAACTAAGATTTTTCACCAAGTGCACTGCCAAAAATATGTATAGTTTTGGGAACTTAGGTGGCCATGTTTTATAGCAGTTCCAACCAGCTTTCCTGGTCAATGACATGCAGAGTTAGGGCATTACCACTATCAACACCTCCCCCCCCCCAGTGATGGTTTTGTCCAGGCTACTTTGAGACAGAACTCAACAGTTGTGCAACATGTAGGATGGGCAATCTTGACTAACCAACCCATCGTTCGTGACTTACCTTGTCCGGCTCCAAGATTGTGACAAGACACCCACCGTCTGTCACTAAGGGTAGCCATGCTTTTTTAGGAAAGAACTCGAGTTGCTCAAGAGAAAAGGCAGAAAAACATGATAGCTTTGACGTCTATGGAGATTCTCCGTCCTCCAGGTCATGGTTGTCCCAAAGGTGCTTTTTCAAGGGGCAACTGGACTTCCTTGTTTTTCCTTTGAAGACTTTTCGCTTCTCATCCAAGAAGCTTCTTCAGCTGCTGCTGCTTCAGAGCAGAAGAAGCTTCTGGGAGGAGAAGCGAAACATCTTCCAAGAAAAACAAGAAAGTTCAGTTGCCTCCTGAAAAAGCACATTTGGGACTGTAGCTTTGAGTGTCTCAGAGCACCCAGAAAAATGCCAACACGCGCAAGGACTTTTTATTTAGTTCCTTTGTTACAAGTTGCTCTCTTTTCTAAACCACTTGTAAAGATTGCCTTCTACGTTACAGGTGGCTTGGATTTGCAAAGACCCCTTTGCGGTCCAGGGAGGGAGGGAGGGAGAGAGAGAGAGAGAGAGNAAAGAAAAAAAAAAAAAAAAAAAAACCCCTCTGGAAAATAAATGAAAAACAAGCACAGCTCAGCCCAGAATTTGTATTGCTAAGTGAGAAATTCGTTAAGTGAATTTACCCGAATTTTACACATTTTCCCCTCCAGATTTGTTAGCAGTTCTTAAGTTAGTAACCCGGTTGTGAAGTGACTCCGGTTTCCCCCTCGACTTTGCTACTCAGACGGTCGCCAAAGGGGGATCACGTGACTCTGGGGACACGGCAACCGTCATAATTGTGAGTCGGTTGTCAAGCCTCCGAATGTCAACACACCGTGGCCAGGGAGTTGCTGCAAAAAGTCCTAAGTGTGAAAAACGGTCCCGAGTCCCTTTTTTCCCCAGCGCCGTCGTCGCTTTGAACGGTCACTAAATGAACCGCTGTAAGTCGAGGACTGCCCATCACCGAGTCAATTCCGTGGTCTCCGCTTGGAAAGGGAGCAGGAAGTAGGTGTGAAAAATCGTGTCCAATAATCCAGCAATTCAACGGTTCCTTGTGCAACCGGGAAGGGTTTGTCTCCCGAGCGACCAATCCCGCTCGTTGCTTTTAAAACATCTTTATTCAAAATATACAACTGCTATAGGAATAATAATAATAAAAAAAAAATCATCCATTTCAAAGTGCATCAGAGCTGTGCCCCAAAATACAGCGCTGGCTGTGGCTTGCTTTCCCCTTTTCTGAAAAACCCAACCCGCCACGTATTAAGTACCGAGGAAAGCGGACAGGTTTCGCGTCCCGGACACGAAGCCAACTTCGTACGATTTTTTTTTTCCCGTGGGAGGCGACGTTGTAATGTGGCCTCCGCTGTCGCTTGCCCAGTCGACAGGTTTCCTGGTTTTTGCTGCAAGCTACAAGAAGTAAAGAGTTTGGCCGTCCCTTCCACGCTCAACATTTTTTTTTTAAAAAAAAGGACAGATAAGAAAGGAAGGAGTAACCAACACCACTCTTCAGCGCGACACGGCAAGGAAAGAAATACTTTTGGCTTTACTGTAACAGACACCGAGGAAAGTGGGGGGGGGAGAGAACACCCCCCCCTCTGCCCTCCACACTCCCAAATCACACCAGGGGGAGGGAGGGCGAGTTTCTGGCAGCAGGTAACATGTCTGTAGTAAACCTCGTGGCCTCGGCTGGGAGCGGGGGGGGGGTCGGGTCAGACGGAAGTGTGGACCGGTGTGACGGCGGGAGAGGAGCCTCGCTCGGAGGAAGACGAAATGGAGCGCTTGGCGGCTTCCCGCTGCAGCTCCTCCACCCTCTTTTGCAGCTCCGTTCGGATGGCCAGGAGTTCTTTCAAGTTCTGGTGAATCGGCATCTGTGGGAATGGAAGACAGGTTTGGGTTGGCCTTGGAAGAGCCCAGAGCCCGAGGTTTAAGAGAAGATCGTCTTGTCATTTATTTTTTTTTTTACTGTGGGCACACTGGCCCACATTAAAAATGAACTTCTGTTGCCTGCTCTCAAAAGGAAGTATATATCTACCCATAGACATTCGTAACACATCTATATATCTATATATTTATAATATAATATAATAATGATAAAGTTGGAAGGGGCCTTGGAGGTCATCTAGTCCAACCTCCTGCTCAGGCAGGAAACCCTATCCCATTTCAGACAAATGGCTGTCCAGTCTCTTCTTAAAAACTTCCAGTGTTGGAGCATTCACCGCTTCTGGAGGCAGGTTGTTCCGCTGGTTAATTGTTCTAACTGTCAGGAAGTTTCTCCTTAGTTCTAGGTTGCTTCTCTCCTTGATTAGTTTCCATCCGTTGCTTCTTGTCCTGCCTTCAGGCACTTTGGAGAATAGCTTGACCCCCAATTCTTCTTTGGGGCAGCCCCTGAGATATTGGAAGGCTGCTATCATGTCCCCCCTCGTCCTTCTCTTCGTTAAACTAGACATACCCAATTCCAGCAACCGTTCCTTATATGTTTTAGCCTCCAGTCCCCTGATCATCTTTGTTGCTCTTCTCTTATATCTATATATGTATCTTTCCACAGTGGCCCAACGCTCGAAGAGAGCGAATTTGTGGGCTTCTCGTTGCCGGGAGTCACCCAAGTCCAGGCACTGCAAAGCTGGCTGGGGTATTCTGAGAGTTGAAGTCCACGTATCTTAAAGCCAGGAAGGTCGACAAACGCTGTTTTAAAAGTGTTAGAAGAAACACAGAAATGCCTTGCTGATTTGGAAGAGGAAAAAAAAAATATCACGAGGGAGGGAGGGAAGGAAGGTTAACTCCCCAGCTGCAAAGGTAGAAATTACCTTGCAGAAAGCCTGATATATGACTAATTCCAGGTGACAAAAGGTTTGGCCTTCTGGGATGGATAAGCCCTTGCTACCTGCTGCATGGATGTCTGGTGGGCAATTGTGAAGACCTCTGAAGGGCACCTGATCACAGAGGGCTGAGCTAGTTATTTTTAAGCTCGTTCACGGGAGTTTGAACACTGGGAGACAGCTGTTCGCTTTCTGTGTCATAATTCTGCTCTTGTGTGGAATCATAGCCACTGAACATTCATGCATGTATTGGAAAGCTAGGGGTGTGTGTGTGTGTGTGTGTGTGTGTGTGTAGTTATTGCCATTGACGAGACAGAGGGCTGAGCAGCTGCATTCACACACTACATTTAACCCAGTGGCTGAATTTACCAGTCTTTCTGGCGAATTGTACAATATACTGCGGCATAAATTAATTGAAGGAATTAGCTTGGTGAAACACACCAAGTCACACACAAGCACACATCCCAAGCTTAAAAGCCACTCAAATTTAGCCCGTTGTGGAAATGCTGCTGTTGCTGGGAATCAGCCATGGTTAGACACGTATGAATAAAATCTGCGAATTACGAGGGTTTTAAAGATGCTTCCCATCTACCGGAGAGAGAGAGAGTAAGGATTTGTTCTGAATCTGGCTGGTAAGCGCAGCGGATTTCATTTCGGGATTTATTAGGTGCTTAATTAAGAAGGTTTCTAGTACTCCCCCAGCCCAGCTAATTATAAGAATCTAACCTGTAGATCACAAACAGGCGGGTTACGCGGCTGCCCAGTGGGCAGGATATAAAACCACGCAAAGGGACTACGTTTTGCTAACGCAGCTTCTGCCTCGCAACTAACGCAAGCTTCAAATTGCCACCATTTAATGGGGATTTTTTCTCTCCACCCATCTGGAGAAAAGAGATGGCATCTCTTCCCCCCTCCTCTTTTCCAGCATTGTGTGGTACCGGGGGGGGGGGGGGAGAAAGAACAACACGCACACCCACAAGGAGAAGCGCAAAAGGCGGTATAACCGCCACGCACTTCAGGCATGGCTTGTTCTAAACCGTATGGAACCAAACTCTATACAGGCTTCCTGCGTCCCTTTGCTAGCTCAAGGACACCCATTCAAAGGGAAATTGTTCTGCAATGAATGTGTCACTTCTGTAGGGCCTTAAATCTTTTTTTTTTTTTCCCCTCCTCCCCTAGGAAGAAAAGCATCTGTCGAATGAAATGACTATTTTAACCCCGCTCTTTGATGCTACGAGATGGTCCCACCCACATGGAATGGCGTTAGAACGGAACAGAACTGTGCACCCAGCAATCACCCACCTCTTGGAGGCAGAAAGACAATGGGTGTTTTTGCCTTGGGGGGAGGGAATTGACTGTGGCTATTCCCTTTTTGCCTTCTTGGGGGGGGGGAATTGACTTTGGCACAGGTGTTGGAAAGCATGCAGGATTCTGTACTGCCACGGGGCAGGATCAAATAGCAATGTGCTTCTCTGACTCAAGAACGGGGGGTCTTCAAACTTGGCCCTCTGATGACTTGGGGACTTCAGCTCCCAGAATTCCTCAGCCAGCTATATTGGGAGTTGAACTCCCCAAGTCATCAAGGGGCCATCGTTCCCCCACCTCTGCCTTAAAGGCGGCATTTATGGGACTGGTATCAATGAGGTGGGCTGGCCCCACCATGATCTACATCAGGGGTCTTCAAACTTGGCCCTTTTACGACTTGTGGACTTCAACTCCCAGAATTCCTCAGCCAGCTATGTTGGGAGTTGAATTCCCCAAATCATCAAGGGGCCATCGTTCCCCCACCTCTGCCTTAAAGGCGGCATTTATGGGACTGGTATCAATGAGGTGGGCTGGCCCCACCATGATCTACATCAGGGGTCTTCAAACCTGGCCCTTTTATGACTTGTGGACTTCAGCTCCCAGAATTCCTCAGCCAGGCGTGCCTTTCTGCTTAACAGAGCTTTAGCCATCCCAGATAATCCACTGCATGTTTTCTCTCAAGAGAGCTTGTTCCCAAGTTAGCTTATGGAGGACTGGAAAGCTTCCACCCTCAAACCAGCTTCTACTTTCAGAGGGTCATTCCAGCGAGGAATGGCTTATGGGGTTTGCAACACTGACTGATGTCAAGTGGGAAGACCCTTTCAGTGGGAAGCTTATCAACTTGAGGGTCTTTTGGGGTCCTCACTGCTCTCTGCAGACATTTCATGACCCAACTAGGTAGCATCATCAGGGCTAGAAGGGAGCAGGGTCTGTTCCCTTGGGTTCTTCTTCAAGACTGTGCACGCCCTTTTCACGCAGAAGGTTCCCGCAAGGGAATGTTCAGATGCATTCAGCACACACTTCGCCCCTCTACAACAACCGTCACTACAAGATGTGGGAGCTGCCAATCTTGGGCAGCTGGCTTGGTGGGGGCCACGTTTCCAGGTGGCCCTCCAGAAACAACATCTCAGTGTAACCTCAAAGTATTCAGGGAGAAAACTGAGAATGGAGCCTCAGTTCCTAGGATGGATGTTTTGAAATATGGGACACCCCCAGGTGCCTACCCCTCAGGTTGATTTGTGGTTAAGACCACATTCTTTCATGGTTTGCTTTGGAAGGAACAAGCAGATCACCTAAATTTGGCTGGCCGAGGCCCAGCGTGAGATCCATCCATGTTTATTTCAGGGAACGATCACAGATGGCTTTAATATCTGCCTGAATAATTGATAATGAAATGTGGACTACACTATCTATTTATACTTCAGCACCAAGCTTTTTATATCTGGAGGGGGAGAAGCTTAGAACAGTTTGCTGATTTATCTATTATTATTCAAAATCTACGTGTACGTTTGTGTCTGGCCTTCCCTAACCAAGAGCTTTTTCCACACAAGGCGCTATTCCCAGCAGTCTTGATAAAACACTTCCTTCCCAAATTGTGGTTCCTTCAAAACAATCTGCAGTCGGTTGCTTTTTTTGCCAAAATTCCACACCAGAGTGGCATATTCATTAGCTGGCAGCCGACTTGTAACTGCTGATCAGAACATCTCCCATCTAAGCACAGCATACGTTTCCTGCAATTTTACTTTTTTAAAAATATATATATATATATATATTTAGCAAGCTGATTTCCAAAGCTGCATCCACCCTGAGAAGCTGAGAACGATTTATTCACAGGATATGTTAAGGGATTCTGGAGAAGGGCTGAGACGCTGTTCATTAGCTACTATTTTAGCAAAGAAAACTAGAGTCAGCACAAACACATAATCCGAGCTGGCAACCAGATGAACTTTCTAAATAGGTCCTAGGAGGCAATTAGCGATTATGAGTTTTCTGCACCTAAAATGTCTTTCTGGTGCGGCAACGCAAAATCTAAAAGGTAAGAGACGGAATGCAAAGTGCTCACGATCCAAATCTTGGAATCTGGCTCCTGAAAAAGGTTCATAAGGGGAAAGGGAATTCTCTTAAAAGTATCTGGCCATATTAAGAACGTGCAGTGGATCCTCACATTTTTTAACCAAGAGTTATGACTTCTCTCTGTAGTTTTTAGTAACAATGACACAGTGACTCTGTCTTGAGCTTGTCTCCACATGAAAGGAAGAGAAAGAAAATCCAGCAGATCCAATCTCCTGTCAATCACACCTTTGATGACTTGTACGATGTAGTTAAAACTCTTTTAAGATTTCTAGGATTTCGTTCAGGATTACATGCTTCTATCCTTGGTTTCCTCGGAGTTAATTTGCAAAAGGCACGCAAACTGCAGTGACACGCGTGGAAAGCTTACCTGGGGTCTCGTTCGGGGGTTCCAACGTACGTAGTAGTTGACCCACAATTCCAAATGACTTAAGCTGGCTACTGGATAGAGAACGTGGTTCTTGTAGTTGACGTAGAAAGGGTTACTGAATTCCTCCACCTGGCTATTGATGTGGGACCACAAAGAGACAGTCTTGGTATTTATCTCCTGAGGAAAACAAACACGGTGATGAAGAGGTAGGCTTGCAAAAAAATTATGCTGCATTATAACTCAAAGAGGGATGGCGAGCTCCCTTCTCCTGGAAGAGAAGCAGGCACCAGAGAGGTTGTCAGGCCTAGCCCAAGAACGTCGTAAAACCATCCAGTCGAAGTTTAGTTTGTTATTTGCAAATATTTGACAGACGGAATCTTGCCAGGATAAACCTATAATACTCTTTTAAGAGAAACATCCCAGGGGATTCTAGGGAGTGGCTGTCCTAAATCTTACCTTCTTAAATCTTCCCATAATTTCCCCTTCCCACGATCCAGCTTATAGGAGGGCAGAGTTAAATGCATCCTCAGTTCAGAATCCTTGCGTTGTCACAAGAGATTCAAGTCCAGCCCCACCCCCTTTGTTGGCCCTTGTCCAGCGCCAATTTACTACTGATCATTAGTTGATCAGATATCTTGTGTATAGATAGTCCTTATAACCATTCAGTTAGTGATTGTTCGAAGTTACAATGGCACTGAAAAAAGGGATTTATGACCATTTCTCACACTTATGACCATTGCAGCATCCGCATGCTCACGTGATTAAAATCTGGATGCTTGGCAACTGGTTCATATTTATGACGGTGGCACGGTTCTGGAGTCATACGATGCCCTTTGGCGACCCTCTGACGAGCAAAGTCAATGGGGAAGCCAGATTCACTTAACAGCTGTTACTAACTTAACAAGGGCAGTGATTCACTTAACGACTGTGGCAGGAAAGGTCGTAAAACGGGGGCAAAACTCACTGAAGAACTGCCTCGCTCGGCAACAGAAAGTTTGGGCTTGATTGTGGTGTTAAATGGAGGACTAGCTGCCTAGGCTGCATAGAATATTCTCAGCCGTTACTGGTGGTTCCCAGGTCAGTACAAAACGGGCAAGGGTTATTTGAGAATACTAAGCAATCGTGTTTTTTTAAGGTTAGCGTTTCTTGGGAAATTCATCTACTAATATTTAGGCATGTCTGGTAAATGACGAGCTTGGGGTAGCCACGATGTCGCAGTGAATGAATGTCAGTTTGCGGGCAGGGTGGTTGTCAAATAAGATCAAAAGCAAAAAAAAAAAAAAAAAAAAGAAAGAAATTGTCTGGATGTCAGCAAATACCAGAATTTAGAATCAATGAAGTGTAGGGAAGAAAAAAAAAAAAGATATAATCCGTATACCTATCTAAATATTGTGGCTGCAATTAAATGGCTACGTTTAACAGGGTTATTAAAATTCTAAATCAAGCCCAATCTTCCCTTTACAGCCATTATTAAATCAAGGGTTCAGAATCGGAATCCGTTATCGGATTCTTCTCGCGATTTTATATTCCTCCGGTGCTATCAAGCATCTGTTTGCACTACAGTTGCCTCTTAAATTGCATTTTCTTTTTTCTTCTTTCTTTCCTTCTTTTTTTTTTTTTTAAAAAGAGGAAACTGCATTAGATTATCCATTCATGAGAGGGAGCTGGCTGACAGGCAGGCGGGCGGGTTTTGGTGGGGCTGTGTAACTCAGCTCCATCTTGTGGTGCAGCTACGCAATTTGATTGTGTTCATTCGAAGACAATCTAAAGCAGAGGTATTTCAGCCAGACCCCTGCCTCCTCTCAAAAATTGAGAGGAGAAATGCTATCTGGCAGGAGCTTTGGGAGGGCTTTGGATACTCCTCCTGTAGAGCTTGAAAAGATTTAAGTGTTCATTTCTCACTTGAAGTCTCCTTATGGATTTCCTGAGAGCAAAAGGAGGCACATTTCTGACCCAAATGTAGACGTCCCAAACCCAAACCCTTTAGTGCGCAAATTATGCGCTTAAGCTTGTAATTTCAGCTAGACATGTTAATTGCTCTTAAGGGCAGAAATTGTGTTGTCATCAAAGACTTCAATGCTGGGTTTGTGGCATTTGGTGCTGCCAAGTGAGAGGTGAACATTTAAATCCTTTCAAAGTCTACGGGAGGAGTGTCCGAGCCTGGCGACGTGAAGACCTGTGGACTTCAATTCCCAGAATTCCCCAGCCAGCTTGGCTGGCTGGGGAATTCTGGGAGTTGTAGTCCACAGGCCTTCAAGGGGCCAAGCTTGGATATCCCTGGTCTACAGCAAAAGGAAAAAAATTACCTGGAATTTCTTTCGCCTTTTATCAAACCATCACGTTCACCGACTATTTACCTCTTTTATTCGCTGATGTTCCGAGTTGTACAAAAAGGTGCCAAAGAGACAGCTATAAAGATGATCCAAAATGCTGATCAAAAACAGCTCGTTGAATTCGAACGCTGCTGGAAACTAAAGCGGGAACACATTTAATTTTGTTTTTCTCCTCCCCCCCCCCCCATTAGTAGAAGGCAAATCCACTTTTCATTTAAGCAAACAGATTTTCATGGAGTTAAAAAGACACAGGGGTCAGGGGTGTTACAACATGCTCAACCAGGCTAGCGCCGTTTGGTTACGGTTAACAGTCACAGAGTTGGAAGGGATCTTGGAGGTCACCTAGTCCAACCCTTCCCCCCCCTACCAACAACATATCTCTTTTGATTTGAAGGTGCTGAGCAATTCAGGCACGTTCTCTATCATCCATCCTTGATGAGTTGCAACTCTATTGCTCTGTGGCATCGTGTTGATTGTTCCTTAATTTAGACAAGGTGGACGATCAGATAAAAGCAAAATGTTGTCCTCTGAGCCCAAACATCCAGCAGAAAAGTAACAGGGCCTCAAAATCTTCTTAGAGGTCAAGAGGTTAGGGACCTTCCCTATCTCAGGAAGACAGGTATCGCCGGAGGTGAGGTGGAGATGGGAGGGCAGCCACAAGGATGCTGGAAAGGCAGATCCCTTTTTAAATAAAGCCTCCTTTATAACTCCCATATGGTACCTGTCTGAGCATCTTACTGTAAAAACACAACTAAGAACGTTTGATTAGTAATTCCAAGAATTACTTTTATTTAGGAATGAGCTGAATTGAAGGACAAAGATTAGAATTTTTCCACAAAGTTACCCAGGAGCTCAAGTACTATCGCTTCTATAGTAAACGATATCCTCAGAGCCTTAAGAAAAAGAAGCTTTGTTATTAATTGGTTCTGAATCTGCACATCTCAAGAGTTTGCACACATCAAATTAGATGCTTTTGATATGTAAACTGGCTACTGGACGACAGAGCTACAAAGGATGGCGGCTATTGAGAAGAAAAATGAGTTTATAGATTCAGGAACAAGTTTATCATAAGCTCATCATAAGCACAAAAGACCACAAAATCACTCTAGATTTTCTGTTTGAAAAATAGTCTAACTCGAACCATCTCTGTGTTACTTCCAAGAGCTGTTCTGAGCATGGCAGCAGAAATATGTTAAAAAAGTAGAAAATAAATGAATAAATATGTAAGTTCTCACCTGCTTTGTCATTTGCCAGACACAATCTATGAACTGCAGGAAGACAGGAGATCTGTCAGCATCTGCATGATCGTCATCCCCTTGACCGACTCGCTGTAGCAGAGGGAAACAAACAAACAAACAAAAAAGGAACTTAGAAAGCTGGGGAATTCTGGGAGTTGAAGTCCACCCATCTGAATGTTGCCAAGGCTGAAAAACACCACATTAAGTTGCTGTGATGTAGGAACCTAGCCTGCAAATGATGGACACAGTCAACTTCCGTTGATGTAGAACAGAGGTGGGCAGTTAATTTTCCCAAGGGGCCACATGAGAAACTGGAATTTTTGTGGAAGGCTGAACCAACAGGGCTGTGAAGGTGCATAGGCATGCGTGCATGCACGCAAGTAAATTGAAAAAAAAAATAGCAGTCATCTTCAAAATAAAAGCAATCCATGCTGGCTGGACAGCGACAGTCAAAGGGCTGGATGTAGCCTGGGAACCATAAAATGCTCAGGTCTGGTGTATCATGTTAGCAGTGGATGGAAAACACTTGCAAAAAGGGAGCAGCGTTCATAACTGCAATTGGGAAGCATCAGAATCCAACCCAAGAGGAACCCAAAGCTGCTTTTTCAAAAGGCAGCTGGCCTTTCTTTGTTTTTTTTCTTTTATTTATTTATTTATTTATTTGATTTATATCCCGCCCTTCTCCTTGCGGACTCAGGGCGGCTAACAACCAGATAAAATACTAATCACAAAAAACTACAAATTAAAAACATAATTAAAAACAAATATTAATAATTGGTCTAGTAGTTAAAAATTACTTTAAAACCCCCATTAAAAATTTTCCCCTAGGCCAGTCCTGCAAGTTTTCTTGAAAATGTTTCACTTCTTCAGTTGAAGAACTGAACAGAAGAGATTGAAGAACTTCAACCGAAGAAGCTTCTTGGATCAGAAGCAAAACCTTTTCAAGGAAAAAAAAACACCCAAGAAAGTTCCAGTTGTTTTTTTTGAAAAAGGGACAACCATGACCTGGATGATGGAGAATCTCCACAGACAACTGAAGAGGAAGTTTCACGGTGCTAAACCAAAATCAGGATGGATATCAGCCTTTAGTGAAACGTTTTCACTGGATCTTTGGAGTGACGGCTACCCTTTTGAATTCCCAGAATAAATCCTTGCAAGATTTCTTCTCCGGCTTGCGTGACACTCACCATGGCGAAGCGATGGCCAAAGCTCATCCATTCCTTCTCCAAGAGGACCTCAAAGCCTTTGATGGTCCGGTAATAGCTGTCCAGCATGAGCATCGCCAAGGAAGTCAACTGAGCGGTACGGTCCCAACCGTCGCTGCAATGGACCACCACCGAGGTTTTGCCCGACTCAATTTTGTCAGCTATTCTCACAGCTCCGGCAAGAAGCATCTTTTAGAAAAAAAGAAGAAGAAAAACCCACCCAGGTTAAAAATCTTCCGGTGCAGGACGTTCTGTCAGAAGAAGGCATCTTGGTGATGCTCAACCCTCTAAAAACTGGGGTGTCCAACCTTGGCCACTTTTAAGACTTGTGGACTTCAACTCCCAGAATTCCCCATCCAGCCGTTCTGACTAGGGGCTTCTGGGAATCGAAGTCCCCAAGTCTTAAAGTGGCCGAGGTTGGACCCCTCTGCTCTAAAATAATTACTTCGACAAGATATAAAAATCTTTCCCGATGGAGATATGAGGCAGCCTAAAGGGAAGCATAAGCACAATGTGGCCCCACTTTTCATCAATTACCCGTATGTATTCCAGCCAGTGTGTACTCTCCACGTTGGACAGCCACCGGGTTTCATCAATGGCGGGGTAAACAATTTCTTTCAGTTTGCGCAGCGATTCCCTCATCACGTGGATATTCGGGATTTCCAAGAAGATCAACTCCACGTTGGGATAGGCACTTTCGCTTTCGTACCCGCCGCCTTTGGTCTGAAAATAACAATGGGTTCCCGTCATTCCTCTGCGTTACGTTGAGAAGCAGTTTGGTCTAGTGGCTAAGGCGCCAGGCTAGAAACCAGGAGATGGTGAGTTCTAGTCCCGCTTTAGGCATGAAAGCCAGCTAGGTGACATTGGGCCAATCACGAGGAGACCGAGAGTTCTAGTCCCACCTTAGGCATGAAAGCCAGCTAGGTGACTTTGGCCAATCACCAGGAGATGGAGAGTTCTAGTCCCGCTGTAGGCATGAAAGCTGGCTGGGTGACTTTGGGCCAATCACCAGGAGACGGTGAGTTCTAGTCCCGCCTTAGGCATGAAAACCAGCTAGGTGATTTTGAGCCAGGGACACACTCTCTCTTCTCCTAAACACCTCACAGGTTGTTGTGGGGCGAATAGGAGGAGTATTTAAGTACGTTGACTACCTTGAGTTATTGAGAAAAATAATACAGTGGGATAAAAATAAATATATGATAGAAAGCGTTTGACAATTTGACCTTTTACTTTTAAACCAGCTTGCTTTTTTTTTTTGGCTTGTTGAAGCTCCTTTAACCTCCTCCTCTGGTGTGACTCCTACCTTGTTGGCATCTGCAACGCTGTTTTGCCTGGCGTCAAAGATGAATAGCTTGTGAGACTGAGCGTTGGCATCCATGATGGTCTGTAAGTACTTCTCGTCTTCTTTGCACTGCTTGTCGTTCGCCCCAACGAGAGGCTGGCTGCATCTGGTGAGGGTTGCCTGGCTCTCCGGGTGAATCCAGGACAACACCTAGATTAAGAGCGGAGAGTGGAGGGTGGGGGAGAAGAGAAAGAAACTAACTAACTAACTTATAAATAAAGCCCTTGCTGAAATTCATTCCATTAAATGGGATATATTAAGAAGGTGACATCAACATTTCAGTTTTGGGTCTGAATCTTACTTACTGGAACTCTGCCTTTCGCTCTAAAGGCAGCCACGCGGGAGAGATCTTCGTCTTTGACGCTGGTTGGCACAACAAGAACGGCAGGATATGTGTCACAAAATTCATACATGCTGTTAATTTTGGATATTTTCCAGCTCTCGTTGGGTAAGCCCTGCATTGAAACAAAACATTTGTATATATACGTCAAATTCTGATATGACATACTGACTGTGGAATCCCCGAGGAATGAATCATAGCCCAATTGTGATAAATAATTAAGTACAGTGCTTATTTATTTTTCTGGATTAAAATGACACAAATGCAACAATGTTTGGGAACACAGCGGGCATGTAGCTTAAAGTTTGAAATTTCTGTTGCGTATATTAAATATGTTTACACCTGTTATTTTCCCTTTTCTTAAGGCATCATGTTAATGTATTGTATCCATTTGGCTCTATTGTACACTGCAAACAATCTTGAGTATTTTGGCAGAGAATTGACACTCAAATGTAGGTATTTATTATGATCGTTTTCCTATAGTCAGAGAGACAGTATGTTCCTTGGGCCTGTACTTATCGCCTATATGTACTTAGCCTTCAAACTAGAACATGTATATGCACCTCTTGTAATAAAAGGTTATGCAATTCACATAAGTCCAGAGTTGCTTGATGGTGAGATGGGAGGCCTATAAATTTAATAAATAAATAAATGAAATAAATAGGGATCCACTGATCAACCCATCCACATGGTTTCTACTTCGTAGGAAGAAACGGGATTAGCTTTCATGCTGTTTTTAACTTGAAGTACCTAGAACTTACTAGATAAATTTTACCACTCTAAGTTGATAAAGTATACTTGTAGTTGAGAAGGTCTTGGTGCTCTTGGAGCTTGGTCGTCCCAAAGGTGCTTTTTCAAGAGGCAACAGGACTTTCTTATTTTTCCTTGGTTTTGCTTCTCATCCAAGAATCTTCTTCAGTTCAGAGCTGAAGTCGCTCCTTGGATGAGAAGCGAAAGGTCTTCAAAAAAAAAAAGCAAGAGAGTCCAGTTGCCTCTTGAAAAAGCACCTTTGGGACAACCAGGACCTGGATGATGGAGAATCTCCATAGGCATCTGAGCTTGGTTTTCTTCTTGAAGATGTTTCATGACCAAACCAGGCATCATCATCAATGCTAGTCACCTAATTACCAAGTTACTTAATGTGGCAATGTTACCTAGTTTGGTCATGAAACATCTGGAAGAGAGCACCAAGGACCCCTCATTTTGACCCTGAGCTACTGCGATTCTTCTTCTTGCTACTTGTAGTTGTACCTTCACAAAGGGACCAGAGGCCAGAAGGATCTGAAAGTAAGGACCAATATGTTCAAAAAGAGTCCATCTGAAGCAGGATAGACCTTCCACCCAGTCTCTTCAAAAACTTCGGCTACAATTTATGAGCTTTCATTCATCAACCCGTCATTTCTAGACTTCGGTTCAAGAGTTCCACATCCTACCTGGGATGAAGAACTTTTATCTACGTAGCCAAAGAATACAACGGGGAGGGCATCGTTTTTATTGCAAATGTGTTAGGGGTGCATGTGTCTCTATGCAGAACGCTCGATGCTGGGTGATATTCAAAACATGAAAAACCTACTGGACTTACCTGTCTTTTATACTCCGCCACCGGATCGTAAACCTTCCAACCATTTGTAGGAAATTTCTCTTTGTAACTGAATGCGAAGAATGGCTGGATGCAAGGAAAGAAACGCACAAGAGGTTAGGGAGTCGCTGAAGTTCCTTTTTGGATCCCCCTACAGGGATTTAATTCTGAGAATTAGGAATGGTGCTACCTGCCAGCAAACTGAACTACTCAAACTCATTTTTAACTTCGCAAGTAACCCTTGGCTTACAACCATTCGTAACTGATGACTGTTTTTCGCATTGACGACTATAGCAGCACCCCTATGGTCACGTGATCAAAATTCAGAGGCTTGGTAACTGACTCATATTTATGACAGTTGCAGAAGGCCCCTTTGCCACCTTCTGATAAGCAAACTCCATGGGGGAGGCCGATTCACTTAACAACCGTGTTACAAGTTCCAATATCTCAGGGGCTGCCCCCCAAAAGAGGGAGTCAAGCTGTACTCAAGAGCACCTGACGCCAGGACAAGAAGTAATAGATGGAAACTAATCAAGGAGAGAAGCAACCAGGAACTAAGGAGAAACTTCCTAACAATTAGAACAATTAACCAGTGGAACAACCTGCCTCCAGAAGCGGATGGCACACTGCTCCACACTGGAAGTTTTTAAGAAGAGACTGGACAGCCATTTGTCTGAAATGGTATAGGGTTTCCTGCTTGAGCAGGGGGTTGGACTAGATGACCTCTAAGGTCCCTTCCAACATCATCATCATCATCATTATTATTCACTTAACTGCAGTGATTCATTTAACAATTGTGGCAAGAAAGGTTGTAAAATGGGGCAAGACTCACTTAACATCTGTCTCCCTTAGCAGCAGAAATTTTGGGTTCCACTGTGGTCGTTAAGTCGAGGACTACCTGTATTCCTTTTTGCAGAAATCATTAACTGCCGTAACCTCTCTCTCTATTCTCCCCGCAGCTGTTATGTGCAAAATTAATCTACTGTACTGACATCCGTAATATTTTTAAGCTTTGTGATTATGAAAAAAACCCCCCAGTATATTTAGATTCCCTCGCTCTTCCTCGTCTGTTTCGCCAGGGCTAAGAACTTTTCGTTGATGCTTACCAGCCCGTGAGAAAGAGGAAACGCTCGGGTGACCAGGTTCTGAAGGATCTCCAGTCTATGCTCTTCCTGTTTGTAAGCGAGCCGCAGGTTTCTCATATCCTGTCAAAAGATATCTTTAGGTCCGACTTGTTATTCTTGCTGGAGAAAATCATGTTTAATTTATGCTGTGGGCACAGTAGAATTCCACCCTAAACTTTTGATTTCTAGGCCAATAGTTATGGAGCAGCCTGGGGAAGTTGGTCCTCAAATGGATCGCAACAAACAAACTGATAAGTTGATCGGACCATCCCAAAATAAGGAACAGACATCTCCCTGACAAAATGAGATCCTTTCTGGCCTGTTCTTCTAAGATGGAAAAAGAAGCACATGAAATCACTTGTCTGAGATGGTCTAGGTCAGGGGAAGGCAACCTTGGCTCTTTTACGACTCGTGGACTTCAACTCCCAGAATTCCTGAGCCAGCCATGCTGAACAATACTTCCTCAATATCCAACCTGTACCTTGCAAACAATCTCTATACCGCAAGAGTTGTCTCCGTGGCTCTGGACTCCAATCTTTTCAACTCTACTTATTACTCCGAGGGGAACGTCAAGCACAAAATGTGGATCCTGAAATTTCGAGTGAAAAAGAAATAAAAATAAATTATTTTTTTTAAAAATGCACTACGGGTAAATATTTAACATTCTATCAGCTAGATTCATGGTGTAACATTGGATGGATTCATCATGTAACATTGAAAACCAATATTATTTTGCTTCCCTTGTGGTTTTTTCACGCATCTAGAAATGATTGTTTTCACAGTTTATAAGGATTAAAAAGCAAGAGAGAAAGAGCAAAAGGGTAGACAAGACTGAAATAATTAGAGAGGTCTTGTGCTATCCCATCACAAGGTCCACTCTTTCCTAAGCTCTTGTTTTTAAGGTTTTTAAAAAGAGACTAGATAGTGACTTATATAGGTTCTTCTGCTTGAGCAGGGGGCTGGACTAGAAGACCTCCAAGGTCCCTTCCAGCTCTATTCTATTCTAATTCTAAAAAAATAATGGTGGCAGGACATGTCAGCTCACTGCGGGCCTCTATGCTTAGTTTATATGTTCATAAATTTTGGGTGGCAAAAAGTGTTAAGAGCAAAAAGGCTCTAGAATGATGTTTCTCAAACGTGGCATCTTAACGTGGCAGTTGAAGTTTATGCCTCTTGAAATCGCCAAGCTTGAAAGAAAATGCAAAATGGGCAATAACGGAACAAAGACTCACCCTCTCAACGTTCTTGAAATACATTTTGTAATCCGTCACTGTCAACGTGCCACTGATGGCTCCGATGAATGGACAGATATAGACCACATCTTTAGCTGAGAAAAAAAAAAGGCGAGCTTTTATCAGTGCTTACATCCCTTTATTGAAAACTCTTTCACGCAAGGCATGACCTCAGCTTTCAAATCCCAATTTGAATATGGCGTTAACGGGTGGAATAAAGTCCTTTTGCACAGCAAGGTACAATAAAGGAATTTCTTTTTTTTAAAAAAATATCTTCCATGGTCCTTCCTTTTACAGTTTCGTATTTTTACAGTAGGAAAGTTAAAAAAAAGAAAGACCAAGCTATGCCAATTTTAGAAAACGCTAAAGCAGTGTTTCTCAACCTTGACCATTTTAAGGCATGTGGACTTCAACTCCCAGAATTCCACAGCCAGCAATGCTGGCTGTGGAATTCTGGGAGTTGAAGTCCACATGCCTTAAAATGGTCAAGGTTGAGAAACACTGCGCTAAAGGCACAGAGATTCCCATTTCAAACAATTAAATATTAAAGCACAGATAATGTCTTAAATTTTAATTTTCTATAAAAATATACATTAATTGTATACAAGATCCATGCAAAATATGGATGGAATGAAAGAGCCTGGTACGGTCCTCAAATATTTTTTTATTTCCTTCCACATAAGTGGCTTTCTAATAGCTTTTATCACCTGTTCTCATATCCAAAGAAAAGATTGATGTATATATATAAAAGTCTTCCTGGTATTACTACAGAGCAAGTACAGTATTATAGCAAGCATTATGTTGTTCTACCATCCAGCCAGGGAAAACTTGAAGACCTGTGGACTTCAACTCCCAGAATTCCCCAGCCAGTCAGTCTGGGGAAATAGCAAATGCATTACAACTAGCTCACCTTTATCCCAAAGGTGTTTTTCCAAAAGGCAACTGGATTTTCTTTTGAAAACGTTTCCCTTCTCATGCAAGGAAGCTTCTTCAGTTCAGCTTCTTGCATGAGAAATGAAACGTTTTCAAAAGAGAAAAAAATAAACAAAGGAAGTCCAGTTGCCTTTCGGGAAAAAGCACTTCTGGGACAACCCTGACCTGGAAGATGGAGGATCACCTCAGACATTCAGCTTTACCTTTAATGTTTCAGTGGACTTTCAGACAGGAAAAGACACGATGGCCAGCATTTCATTTCAAAGTATCGGAACGTTATCGCAATATTATTATTATTTTTTTTAAAAAAGAAAACCTACAACAAAACATGGGAGATGAAATTGCTGAGCAGTTAAGTATCTCTGGGATTATACTCCAGACATCCATCTCAGGGCTTGCTTAATTCTATGTTAATTTGTAATTAAAATTCTTTTCAGGCGGAGCCGCCTTTTGTGTTCAGCGACGGCAAGCCCGCTTGGGCTGAAGGGATTAAGGATTCAAGATGAAATCTTGCAGCCGAGTCGAACTGCGTTCTGGAAGGTATCAAACCACCAGGGAGATGCCGGCCTGTGACACTGAGCCGCCAACTAGGACGCTGGGGCCATCTTTTAAGGGTCCCAACTTACCGATGGCTTTGATGGACTCTCCCGGAAAGAGCGGCGCTTCTTCCATCTGGGCCAGCTTGTTCCCATCCCTCAGTGCCTGGCAGAGATCCAAAGGTAGAAATTAAATTTCAGGTCTCATCTGCACAGCTTTCAGTGGAAAACCCACTGCAAGTTGCTTGGACTAGGACGTTACAGAAGCCACACAAATTACAGCTTTTTTTTCTTTCTTTCTCCAAGCAGATCACGTCAACACTGCGGGGGGACGGGGGTGGGTGGGGGAGACACTTGTTTGCACAGACAAGGAGCCAGGAGATCACAGGATCCTGCCACTTGGGTACCAGTTCACCACCACTACTCTGGTCCTGTGATGGGTCAGCTACGGCCGATCTGGCTAAGCGGGCTTTTCGTTGAGCGGGACGGGGAAGGGGTTATGCTGAAGTTACACACGTGGTAACACCTCATTGCAAAGGAATGTAAGATTTCTGGATGTAAGATTTCGGAAGGGGAATGGATTCCCAAGCAGGGGTAGGTGAGGAGATGGTGACACGGTGGCCGATCTTAGATCTCTCTGGGCCTTCATCAAGGCAGATTAAATCTGTCCAGGTTGTACGGAGCATTCACGAGCCCAGACGGCTTTGCTCTTGATGACACGTTGACGAAGCAACAAGGGTTGAGTGGCAAAACATTTACACACAAAAGTCAGACTGATTATCCCAGAAGCGTGTACAAAGGTTGTAAGCTCCTACGGATCTAAAAGGCTTCGGGAAACGGAGGCGGTGTTGTAAGTCAAGCTTCATAAGGGCTCCTCACCTGCTAGAAGTCTTAAGAGATCAAATGTGTACTGGAAGACGGTCCCCTCTTTCATCCTGAGATGCCAGGATACCCTCTTACCAGCATTGTGTGGAATTGATAATGGAGGAAAGAAGGTTTCCGGGGCCTTATGGCAAAATTCAAGCACCTGCGGCTCTCTTCTCTGTCTCATGGCTACAGGGAGTCCTCGACTTACGACTATCGTTGAGCCCAAAATTGTCCATCGCTAAGCGAGACAGTTATGGGACGTTCGCCCCGTTTTATGACCATTTTTGCCACAGTTGTTCAGTGGGTCGTTGCAGTTGTTAATAACATTGCTGTTAAGTGAATCTGGCTTTCCCCCATTGACTTTGCTCGTCAGGAGGTCGCAAAAAGGGGATCACGCGACTCTGGGACACTGCGCAACCGTCATAAATCTGAGCCAGCTGCCAAGTGTCTGAATTCTGATCCCATGACCCTGGGGATGCTGCAACGGTCATAACTGTGAAAAACGGTCATAACTCACTTTGTTCGGTGGCGTTGTAACTTTGGTCACTAAACAAATAGTTATAAGTCGAGGACTAGATGTACTCAAAAGTTCAAAGTCCCTTGGGGAGTCAGGCTAGCTAGCCCTTGTTAACCCCCCCTCCCAGTGTAGCAATTATATCCTTGGCAGGAATTTATTAGCTAGGTTCTTCAAATTTGCAGCCCCCGTTGTGTTTCCGTGTTTCAACTTCTCTGTTCGGTTGTCAAGCTCTTGAGCAACAGGTTGACAAAACCCCCGAACGTTTGCCCTTTTCCAACGCCCCCAGGAAAAGACCGTCTGTTAAGTTAGGGAATGAAATAGGAGTATAAATATAAACCTGATCGACTTCTGCGTCAGAAGGATAACCATTGCGTCCATCCTGAATCTCCTGAATTGCAAGGTTGCAGCAGTGGCAAGCAGAGAAGTGAGAGGAAGGAAAAACATGCACAGAACAGGTGAAAGGACAGAATGTTGTGGTTTTTTTTGCAAAAAAGAGACAGTAGATACTTTCACATCAATGCACTTGGCCAGCTTTCTCACACCTTCCTAAATCTAACGCAGTAAAGCCTATATATATATTGGCACCTACGAAATTGGTTACTTTGGTTAAAACAAAACAACAAACAAAAAAAGGAATGAACAGGAACGCATGCATTTCTGTCCTTCTAAGAGAGAGCCTCGACCCCAAGTATGTCCTGTCCTTTTGACACGAGAAATCTTTACTCTTTCAAACAGGAAAAAAAGGCAAAATGCAGAGGAAAAAGTAGCCCGCATGCTTAAAACAACAGAAGAAAACGGATTACAGCACAACTCGGTAGCAGAAACAGAAACCATGCAAATATCTGAAGATTAAACAATGATGTTTCCCTCGCTTGGTTCCATTGAAGCAATTTTGCTAAGAATGCAGTGCAACCGTCTGATTAATACAGAGATTTTGTGCAGATGTTCAGGGCAACGTGCCAGGCTTTGGCGGCAACCGGTTCCGATTGCCTAATTAAAATGTCAGTTTGAAATGGTTCTGCACACCTCCCAGAGCTGTGACAATCCATGAGTGATGCTATATCGCTGTTCCTCAAACACCTTTGAGAACTTACTTCCAGGTCAACTGATGTCTCAGAGCAGGGATCTCCAATCTTGGCAGCTTTTAAGACTGGTGGGTTTCAACTTCCAGAATTTGGGAATTAATTTATTCTGGGAATTAAAGTCCACAAGTCTTAAATTTATCAAGGTTGGAGACCTTGAAAGCAAACATAGTGCAGAGAGCTTTGAAGGGCTTCCTCTAGAGTAGGGGTCGCAAACTCCAAACATGGCTGGCTGAGGAATTCTGGGAGTTGAAGTCCACAAGTCCTAAAGTTGTCAAAGTTGGAGACGCCTGCTCTAGAGTTGCAGAAAGGGTGGTCCTTTTGACCAGACCTCTCTCTTTCCCCGGCTTTGAATGTCTCCTTATTCTGTCCACCTAAATGTCCACGTTTCGTTAGGGAACTAAAAAAAAAAAACCTGGATAAATTCCATAGCTAGTCTCATCTAGGTCTCTTTCATTCGGAAAGCAGTATTCATTTGACCTTCAAACAGTCAGCGGCCAACCTCCAGAAGGTTAAGGTAGATTGCGTTTTTAAAATAATATTTAAAAAAGCAGAATTGAGCTGCTGTGTTTAAGTCTCGTCTGTCAGAGACGAAGTGCCTGGGATTTAGCAGAAGATCTGGCAAGAAAAAAGAAGCTAGAAAGAGTTGGCTGAAGGCTTAACAATCAAATAGGGAGACGAGGAAAAAAAAATGTGAACACTGCGCAATATGTAACTGAAATAAAAACCTTGCCTTTTACAAATAAAAACTTAGAGCAATGTTTTTGTGGCAATGGTTTCCACCTTGATACTTTATTTTAAGGTTCCCTATATGAATCGTACTTATTGTGTGGTTAAAAGTCTCCTTATAAATTAGGGAAGCAGATAGTAAGTAGTCCAAGTTTTTTTCTCCTTCTTTTTATGCATTTCTTGCTTGTCTATTTGATAATTTGAAAGAGGAGCACTTTCTGGGAAAGCAAAGCAAAGCAAAAAAGAAAGAAAAAAACAACAAGCCACCGAATGAATCCCTATGGAGATTCTCAGTCATCCAGGTCATGGTTATCCCCAGGGCAACTGGAGTTTGTTTTTCCTTGAAAAGGCTTCGCTTCTCGTCCAACTAGCTTCATCAGAACCGAAGAAGCTTCTTGGGTAAGAAGTGAAACCTTTTCAAGGAAAAACAAAAGTCCAGTTGCCTTTTGAAAAGCACCTTAGGGACACCAAAGGAATCTGTTTTAACTATCTGGGAGCCACTGCAGTGGTAACCACCTCAGATCTTTGAGTTAGACTCCCTCTCCGAAGAGTTTGGCAATCAAGCTTGTGTAAACGGAGGCATGAATTGGCCTCTTTGTTGACACACAGACTAAATTAAGGTTTCCCTTAGACTTTTCTTTCCAACCACTTGAGCACGCTGCATGCCTTACGGCTGCTAATATTATCCTCTGCAGTCTACAGCATGTAAGTGTCAGCTGGGAGGATCCATTTTGTCAGAATTAATAGGATAAAACGTACGTTGCCTTTCCTTGCCTTTCCAATGTAAGTGAAAGAGATGCACACTCCTAGTCTGATTTTTATCGTTCACAAAAAAAACCTGGAATGTATACGTAACACTTCTATGGCCAACAAGCTGTTATGCTGCATAGCGAGATGGCCCAGCAGCTTGAAAAACGATCATTAATGAAGTCAAGAAGAACAAACACCAAGGCACATCAAGTTCTGAACACAACAGGAAAAAAAAAATACACAAACAGGTAAGAGTCTAACTTGCTGATAGCCACATATATTCTTACCCTTATGGTGGGCTTCCTGTACACCTGTTAGTTAAAATACAGATATTATCCAACAAATCATAGATTGAAATACTGATTTTAGGCAAAGCCACCTTCATTCAGATGTTTTCAGAAGCCCAGTCAGGACCCTGTATCTACACAACCACTTATTACAAGATTGATGAATTACAAGATGAACGAATCAAGGATCTTCAAATAACCAACTGTCCTTCCCTTTTATCCCCAAAATTGTGGAATCTCATCCCTTAATTTTTTTGAAGGTGTTGACAAAAATATCAACAGAATCAGAAGCATAAACAAGACCAGAAAGTGAAATATCTAGTCAGCATAATTGGGATAATAGTATTTAAAAAGTGCAATTATTTCACTGATTTTTTTTTTAAAAAAACTGTCATTAAAAGAAAAACAAAGGTAAGGTGCAGATTTTAACATGGATGCACAAATACTTTCATTCCTTCCACACTTGTTATTCTCAGGAAACAAGTAGCATTGAAATATTCAGATTTATTCTGCATAATTAAATAATAATCTACCACTACTGGGTAGACTCCTGAATAAATTTAGGCAACTCTTTAAGCCCTGATCCCTTCAGTCAGGTAATTAATTTAACAAGACCCAAAGGTAGGACCATTTATGGTCTCAATACTATTTCATCATTGTGTATTTATTTGTTCTTGACTGTACCATCCTAACAAAATACGAGAAGTAAATATAATTTTTCAGAACTATAATGGCAGAGTTTGACCCAGACTGGAGACAATTTAACAAATGTCTCGCTTAGCGACATAAATTTTGGCCTCGATTTGTACTATTGACGAGATGCATTAAGACAAAAACTCACCCGGTATTCTCTGGATACGTTGTCTGAGAGGACAGAGCCTGAAATTTGGCTAGAAATTGTAGCAGCAATGAGTTGCTTGCACCACTCAACGTGGGACCCTGTAGGGCTAGAAAAGGAGAAAGAACAGGTATTTTGACTTTCTAAAAGCGGCTTTATAGCTAGACACATACTCCTTGACCTACAACCATTTAGTTTTGTGACCGTTGGAAGTTACAACTGCGCTGAAAGAAGTGAGTTATGACCGTTTTTCACACTTACAACCGTGGCAGCATATTTATGTCCCGGAGGTCATGCGATCCCTTTTTGCAACCTTCCCACCAGCAACGTCAATGGCTGCAGTGCACTGCAGTGATTCACTTAACAACGGTGGCAGGAAATGGGACTAAATGGGACTAAACTCACTTAACTGTGGTTTAGTAAAGGAAATGTTGGGTTCCATGGTGGTCCTACTCCGAGGACCACCTGGCGCATTCAAAAGGAGCATTTTGAAAAATAGCCTTTTTCTCCAACTCTCCCTCATGCCCACCCCAGAGAGCCCCCCCCTCCCAGCCCAACTGGACTACAAGCCCCATCAACCTTCCCCAAAGAGCTCCCCCTACCAACCTGGACTACAAGCCCCATCAACCTTCCCCAAACAGCAACCCCCCACCCCCCCCACCAGCTGCTCTGGGCCATAACCCCCGTCCTCAAGGCAATGCCAACTCCAGACTGCCGGCGGGGGACCACAAAGCTCATCATGCCCATAGGCCCAACTCCAGCACTCTGCACCTCCTTCCCCCCCCCAGAGCCGCTTCCCCTTCTCCCCCTCATGCCAGCCCCGGACGACGACAAAGCCCATCTTGCCCCGCCCGGGGGGGGCGGCCGGCAGAGGAGGGCGACCCCCGCCAGGCCCGGCCGCGCGCCATGGGCTCTGGAGTCGGCCCGGCGCTCGCAGGCCCGGCCTCCCCGGCCCGCCTCACCTGTCGGCTGGCTGCTCGGCGCCGGGCGAGGCCGCGGGCGAGGCCGGGGCCGCGG